GAGGATATAACGACTAAGAAATCTTCTCCTCTGATGAAAAGTAGTGCCGTGACGATAACGCAACAGAGCGTTTGACGGCTGTGTGAATAGGGCTTTATGCCAACAGACCACTTCCGAAACAGGAGCGCGTAGCCACGTCACCAAAGCAGGCTGTGTTAAAAAAATCACAGCTCATCTACGGAGTGAACGATGATGAGTGGGCGACGCTATGGAGGTGCATCGAGAAACCGTGAATTCTCTTTGAATTTCGCCCAGTCAGTATGCCTTATTCCCGAAGTGTATGATGAAAAAGCCTACTACGCCTGTCCACCCGTCCGTCCATCTGTCTGTCTGTCTGTCTGTCTGTCTGTCTGTCTGTCTGTCTGTCTGTCTGTCTGTCTGTCTGTCTGTCTGTCTGTCTGTTTGTCTGTCTGTCTGTCTGTCTGTCTGTTTGTCTGTCTGTCTTTCCGCCCATCCATCCATCGTCTCTCTGTTTAACGAAACATCTCAAACGAAGCATGTACCTCCGCGTTATTTAGTGATCAATTTGAGTACTAGCGATGCGAGGGCCATAGCGTACTCTAAGAATGGTTACGACAGAAACTACGGCGGACAAGCCTATGCCGTAATGAGCTTCGCCCCTAACAGCGAAAGGTGGGACATTTTTTGCCACGTGATATAATAGCCAGACCATCGATTGGAGGGATGCGTCTTGGACAAAGCACTGCTGTCAATTGCCGTTGACGTAGCGGAAGTGTCTCGAAGAGCCTCTTAGCTGCGCGCTCGTATGCTCCATAAACTTTTGTGGTTGACTGTACTCATACGCAGACCACACCTCACTTTTAATGTTCTCGTACTCGGGCATATCACAAAAAAATTACAGCGAAATGCAGAGGGCATCGCAGGAAGCTCTGAAATAGTGAATATATCAGCTCAAGACGGCGCTGCAGTCTTGCAAAAAACGGCGGCTCCAAACTTTTGTGACTAAACTTCTGCAGTTATCCCTGAAAATACAGCATTATAACACAATCTTTTGACAAGGAACGTGACCAAATCATTCCAACGCTAAATTTAAGTGACGAAAGAAGCAATCAGCCGAGCCATATAACTGAGATCGTATTGATATCGTTTCGCTGAAGCGCCGACGGGTGGACGGAAGAAGAGGAGACCAATGTCGCCTGTTCTGGAAGCAACTGTCAACGCGGTTACCCTTGGCTATTCATTCTATAATAAACGCACTCCATCGCGACAGCTTTGGTAGACGTGCTGGGGTTGATGGGTATTGTTCAGTATTGTTACGTCTAGGCTGTTTCTCTTCTTGCCGGTGACCCGTGACGTTTGCCTAGTGGTTATGATGCTCGACTGCAGGCCCAAAGGTCACGGGATCGAAGGTCACGCATTTTCAGTTCCTCAGAATATACTTCAGGCCCACGCATATATATTTAGTTGCATGTAGCTGTAGGCTCTGAAATTTTCAGCTAATCACGCATCACCCGAGACTTGATCGAACAAGACGGTTGAATTGTCAGAAAATGACCCATTTTTTAAGCAAATATCATCCACCTGAGTTCATGGGCCAGGAATGTCCTGGCCCCTAATGTTAAATGGCGCCGTGAGCTTCAATTTTTGCTTCTTTTTGCTTTTTTCCTTCTTGAAGCCATCGTACTACCTCCCATTCGATTCACCTTATTGTGCTACAGTAATCTTACAAACTCATTCTTTAAGCTCCGAATCACGAGCAGCCTGGCTCTTGTTCTAGTTAGCCAGCAATACCCTTCAAATATACGCTTATGTAGTTGATAGATAAGTGAGGTATTATTATACGCGGCGTTAATCAACCCGAATACTGTTGTATTGTCATGAACAGTCTTTTAGGACAGATTTTTTTTTTTGATGAGGCACTAGTTTTGTGAAGCCGGAAACTGGGTCTGTAGGGAAGGGTTTTCCGCTTCACCTACCTCATGGGAAAATCACCTCAAAATGCAGGTTACCAAAAAGGCTTGTTCTTCTTTTTCGACTTCTTCCCTACACACCTAGTTTTCGTTTAACAGGGAATCTGGTGAAGGATGCTTTTGCTCCACTAACTTCATTGGTCATTTGTTAGGCTAACAGTTGACATGACATGACAAGTGCTTTATTGAATAGTCCTGAGGAAAAATGATGAATATCGCCCTAGGGCTCCTCATCAAAATGGTGGCTCCACTCAGGGTGGAACTTGGAGGTGGTGACTCTCGGCGACTGCCCGAACCCCCTGGACAGCCTGCAGTTGCTCATTTATTTTTTGTGGACTGGTGTACCACAATAGAATTTACCCATTGTGGTGCAAACCCATTTTTTATGATGGACTGTGACTTCATTAAACAACGTGACTACAGGACAGGCCGACAAGCCTAACCACTGATGTGCTTCGCACCTGATACCACTTTCCACTACTTTATTTTCTGAAGGCGACTGTTGATGGCGTCCGTTGTTAATCTCAGGAAACTCAATGAGCGACAATAGGCGCACTTACGAAACATCATCTGGACACTTATTGAACTGTGAAAAATTTCTGCTAATACAGATTCACCTTAGTATAGAAGTGGAAGCAGATTTGTGATCACAGCGTGTATCGAAATATAAAATTTCTCACTATAGGCAGTCAACGGTTTGAGCACACGGTACTGAAGTGGTCGTGACAATGCTGCGGGGTTTGGCTGTGTGTCCAAAATTTCATCATCGTTGCAACACGCAGTATACGCTTAGATGTGTGTGACACTATTATTCACAAAGGTCCAGGTGTTTGCACAGAGTGAATCACTAAATGAAAATCGCGTCTTAGCAGTAGCATGTACAATAGAGTTTTGGATTAATATGCAATAAAGAGTGAATGTTTCTTGTCGTCTAATATTTGATTATGTTTTTGCAAAGAAGCTGCTTCTACTCATTGTTGGAGTGGACAAGCACTCTACTGCAGAATATAGCGTTATATTCGAGACACATGCCTGAAATCATACATTACATTAATCACGATGCTGAACATTCAAGAAAAAACAGAGACAATTTCGTTATCCAAGAGTTTATTTCATGACTGCGTGGAGGAACGTACAGTGTTTTGGCAGATGAAAACATTGCTTCTGCCTCGATAAGAAAAAGAACATAACACAAGGAGGAATTCGGACTGGCAAATGTCCTGCGCTTGCACCGTGTGTGCACTTCATTTTGGTTTTCATAGTGATTGCTTTGATACAGAACATGGAAGCTTTAGTTCCCGCTGTATACTAATGTGAACATAGTACTATTGGTGGTAAGTGCGCAATTTGCATAACTCGCATGCACATGCAAAGGTGTCATTTTTGGACGAGTTAGCTGATATAAAACGCCACCAACTTCCCCGAGAAGATAAAAGGGTGCTAGATAAACAAGAGAATTTTTACAAAGAAGAAACTAAGGGTCTGTTCAGGACAACCATCCACTTTCTTTTACAGATCAGTCTACACAAAATAGCAAGTTTCTCTATTAACGCCTGAATCTCATAGGCACCTTCAAATGAGTCTTAGGCCAAAATATATGTTGCACACCTAACGGTATACAAATCGCATAAAGAAAAACGAAAAGCACAGACATACGTGAAGATATAGTTAACATTCGTACCGGCTTACTTGAACTTCTAGTTTTGATGAAATGTAACAGTTTATGACAATGTTACGAGAACGATTAGCTGGACTAGTTTGTAGCAATTCATGTTAAAACGGCCAGCGCAAAAGAACAACGACACAAGCAAAGAAGAAATGCACGAGACGAGCGCTGTCATGTTCGTCTCGTGTACTTGTTCTGTGCTTGTGTCGTTCTTTTGCTCTACCTGCATTACCATGAATTTGTAACAGTGCCTGACATCCCAGCGAGGGGCACCTCTTTCGATTGTATTGATCCCTGATCAACGTCAAGTAACTCGAAATTGATATAAACTGCTCCAGTTGCTGGACAAAAGCTACTGCGGCCAAAACATTCGAAATCGTTTAAACCTTCTCGCCTTAGACACTTTTCGAACACGACTAGTCTGCTCAGTCTAGTGTCGCCTACCAGTAGCCACGCAACAACAGTCGCTATCAAGAGTGGCTGTGACCGAGTTCCTGAGTGTGCCCAGAGTTTGCATTTGCTGGTATCTTTTTTGATGACTCGGTTCTCGCATTCACTCAAAGAGTGCCAGCAAACAAGACGAAGCATGTGACATACCGAAGACCACAAAATAAACGCGAGGTATGTGCGGAAGGCGCAGCACAGTCACAACGAAAGCTTGAAAAGTGGCCTTTCAAAGCCTTTTCTAAACACTCATTGGGTAACTCTTGCAAGCACACTTGCTTGATACCAACTACGGCACTAATAATAAAAAAAAAATTGGGTAGTAAGCAGGCATTCGCTATGCAATTTTTTTTTGTCATTCTACTGTGAAACGTGGTATCCGCTAAACATTTGCAAATAATTTTGTGCCGATCGTTCACGCAATGGCTGGCGACGATAAGGAAATATATGTCAGAATTGGGTATGCGCCAACGTTAATAGGTGATTAAAAATAAGCTTTTGTATAGGGTTGGAGCATTGCACGACCCACTCATTACTTTATTCACATTGTGCGACGACTGGTTGTTATTTCGCTGTTCTAAACCGCTTTATAAGTCGTAATAACGCGATTCCACACCCGGATCCAGCCTGCCTAGGCAAGTTTGCCAACAAGTCTGAAGTACCGGCGTAGCTCAGTGGTATAATACTGGGCTGGCATGCACATGACTCAGGTCGAAGTCCCACTGTGTCATTGGTACTAGGCTTTTTCTCATTTCTTGTGATGTCGTTGTGGACAACAGAGGCGGCAGACAAGTACGGCGCCACACGTGACACGAATTTTGATCTCATAAGAGCTAACGCTGTAAAAAAAAAGCCCTGCATTAAATGTTCCGTAGAGTCTGTAGCAGCTGACCTTGAGCCAATCATTCAGCTAGACGGAGAGTCAGTGTCACGCCCATAAGAAACGCACCAGGCACATATCAGTGGATAATAAAACAATGTTGCTTTTTAAAGTAGGCTCTGCACAGAGACATACAGTACACGAACTCCAATAGTCTTATCAACTTCCCAGAAAATTTAAAGAGGCATATTTTGATTGGAAGCAAAATATGCTCCAATTTGCACTTCGGATTTTTTTACTTTTATTCAAAACTGTGTACTGTTGGGAAGCTCTTATAGTGGCGCTTCAGGCTACACTGTAGCTGGGTACTTACGTGTACACAGCTCTTCTTACGATCAGTGTCCCTAGTGTCCCTCGTTGAACTTCCATCTTACAGTACGTAGCAAAAAACATTCAAAATAGAACATAATCAAAATTTCGCAGATGTGCGTCAACCTAGGTGTTTAGATGGTGGCCATACCCAGCCATTATTATTTTTCTATATTGATTGACTGTTTGTTTCTCTGGGTCGGTAAGCAACGTATTTGATTAGGTCTTTGTTGCCTTAAAGCAATCATGGAATGAAACACATAGCAGTAGAATACGGTTACAGTCTGTGTTCTCCAGCTGGCTTTTGCTTAAGTTTCACGAGCTGTGCGAGCAGACACACACATCGGCTGTGTAGTTCCCGCTCATAGGTATGCGGGTGTCGAGTGATGGGCATATGAGCCTTTACTAATTTTTGCCCAGTGACAGCGAACCGCGCATGACAATTGAGAGGCATTTTACTCGGTGTACGTTGCTCTGCCAGGTAGCTTCTACAGTTGCGTTCACGAACCCTTTTGTTGTAGGGAAAGGCGGTCCAACAACCAGACCTCCTAATTCTGCTTTCCTTTTTTTCTTCCTATTACCAGGCGAAGGAAAACGGCTTTCACTGTTTTCGGGCAAAGTATGAGAGCGGGAATATGCTGTGAGCATCGAGCTCAGAAACTCACTTTGATTTGATTTATTGATATGTGGGGTTTAACGTCCCAAAACCACTATATGATTATGAGAGACGCCGTAGTGGAGGGCTCCGGAAATTTAGACCACCTGGGGTTCTTTAACGTGCACCCAAATCTGAGCACACGGGCCTACAACATTTCCGCCTCCATCGAAAATGCAGCCGCAGAAACTCACTTTCCGAATCCAGCTAACAACGAGATGCGGCAGTGTGAAATTAAACTTATCTTGGTAACAGACCTGCCATTAAGACGCAGCTGATTGATGACAAGCCCAGGAATTCTAGAACACGGGTTAATGAGAAATGACGCATACAAATGTGTATTTGTCAGGTGCACCTTCGAAGGCTACCTTTGTGTAAAATCACTATGGCTGTGGTTTTTTTTTTGTTTTTTTTGCACCCGCTAAATCTGTGAGTCATAACGATCTTCACTTCAATAAAACTCAATCCTTGCGAGACACACACCAATTATAAAAATAATTACTCATATTCGACAAAAATCTTTCAAAATGAAGTTACGTTCCAGCTGCACTGCTGATGGCAGGCTTAGGAAAGCAAGGAAGAATAACAAGAGAGAAGGCAGGGAAGTTAACCAGGCACATTCCCGGTTTGCTACCCAACGCTGGGGTAAAGGGAAAGAGGCTTAAGGTGCTGAAGCCGCTCATGAGGTCTTTCGAGAGACGCCTTTAGCGAGTCCGTCAGTCTGCTGCCCGTCCACCGCCCTGACATGTATTCTCGTAACACCTTGAGATATCCTCCCATCAACGTCCTCAGTAAATGATCCACTGATCCACAGTGCGCTTCTCGGCCTTGACGTATAGTACACACTTTACAGGAACTGTCGTATCCATTCTATGAACGCTGCAACCTTGGTGTATCCGCCGAAGTGGTTCGGCGCTCCGCAGCCTCGGGGTCCTCCCCAGCTGACGATGCCCTCCAGGACCCAGACGCGCTTGTCGGCAACTGACTCGTCGACGAAGACGAAGGGGCCACCACTGTCTCCGGTGCAGGCGTCGATCCGTCCCTTGACGTAACCACCGCAGAACATGTTGGACGTGACCGTCAGGGGAAAGCGGCCCTCGCGGTAGGCGCGCTCGCACTCTTGTGCTGACACCACCGGAATCACGGCCTGTCTCAGTACGTCCGCGTAGCTCCTGTTCTCCGTCTGGCCCCAACCGGTCGCCTGGGCGAAATGGAGTTGAATTTTGTAGTTGGTATTAGCTTTGAGCTTCCATTACAAAAGCGTTAGCTTTTCCCAGAGAGCATTCTAAACAACCCAACACTTCGAAGCAAAAGGACAGATAATTGCGTGAGTTAGTATACTGATTCATAACTGGCTGCACACTACAAACAGGGGCTAGAAAGAAGAGACACCGCGAGCGCAGACTCGCAACTGCTTTGTTGAAAAAAGACAAAAAGACGATCTAGCACGTCATGCATACCCCTTGTTAGACTACGACGTTTACCAAAATTCCCTTCGAAACATTTTAACGTATCTATAAGACCTACATTACACAAATAAAAATAATGTTATCTTCGCAACCATAGGCAAAGTAAGCGGATGAACACAAACGAATCGTGATTACAGTGCCTAAGTTGAAAGACAAAGTACTGCTTCTGTTACATATCACACTAGCATGCCATATCTCACGCATTTGGCGTTGGTGCGTGGGCGAAATTGGTTTCATGCCTACGTAATGAAAGAACAGAAGGGAACAGGTGAACCTCGCACACGACAAGCTACGCTTGCTCTCTGTTTCCGAATATGGGAAGGACTCCAGAATTTTTCTTATTCTCTTAGCCAACAAGACCCAGAACTGCAGCTAATGCTATCCCTGTCACCACTTCTGGCCTACTTTTGTAATGGTCGCTCCATAGCACTTTCATTAGTGTCATTAGTTTTGATATATCACTTCTTTTTACTAGTAGTCGTCCGTTGTATTTTGTACGTGGTTTTTATTTATAATACCTGCTCTAGGTAGTTTTGTTAGTTTTGTTAGCCAACCTGATAGCAGGTGATGATGAAGGATTTTGCCACGTTAAAATAAAAAAAGTTATTTCGTTTGCTCTTCATTTTATCAGCTGGTTCATTACTGAAGCTGTATTCGATCTTTCTTAATTCATCTCCACCACCCTGTATTTGCGCACAAAAACTTCACCTCACACCAACCCAGTAGTGGTGGTGCTGCTTCCAACATTTCGTATTTCTATTGTTATAAAGGTGATATCGATGTTTACTCACTTGCTTCTTGAAATGTATTATTGCATGCCGTGTGAGTAAACGAGCTGTGTGTTTTATTAGTGTTTGTATTTTTATTGCATTTGCTTCGGTAATCCCTTAGTTTACAATATTGGCCATGAGTATGCTGTATTTAGGCTATATCTTCAAATAAATAAGTAAATCATCGTTATTGTGCATAAGTAGAATGGTAACGGTGGTCTAGTGGTTAAGGTACTCGGCTGCTGATACGCAGGTCGCGAGATCGAATCCCGGCTGCGGCGGCTGCATTTCCGATGGGTGCGGAAATGTTGTAGACCATTGTGCTCAGATTTGGGTGCACGTTAAAGAACCACAGGTGGTCGAAGTTCCTGGACATCTCCACTATGGGGTCTCTCATAACCATATGGTGGTCTTGGGACGTTAAACCCCACATATCAATCAGCTACCACAAACTGAGTGGCATCCACAAACTGAGCATCTTAATTGGGTCCGAAATTGTAGAGTGTCATGATAATCACTTTGTAATATCATAAAATATCAAGTAGTGCCGAAGGAGTAAGCTTTCAGCGTTTCATTAAGGTCCAGTATTTAACTTGTCATGCGTAAGCATGCAAATTAAATGAGGGTGTATGGGTCCTTGCTGTGTACATCATCAAGTGACCCTTATGTACACTAAGCGTTCCATATGTTACACTAACCACGCCCAGGTGGCCATCGACGATGTTCGACTGCGATGTCCTCTCGCTTGGCAGGCATATAGGCTGCACCCGACTGCTCAGCTCCACCGGTCGATCGAGCAGCACCATGGCGATATCCGCGTCGTACTTCACCGGATCGTAATCGTCGTGCACGTGAATCTCCTGAGGCTGCAAAGCATTACATTCGGTGTAGTGAACAGTGCAATAAAAGTACGCTCTGTGAATTCTCAAGTGTGCTCGACAAAAGCCTCAGGTTATTCGACTGACTATGGCAGGTGTTTTGTTTTTAGGGGCGAAGCTCCTGTTTAGAAAAAGTTTATTCTGTCATGGGACGCAACAAAGCTAAGGGACAAGCGTCTGTATAACAGGCACAATAACAAACAAAAGACAAAACACAACATACATTACACATTTAAACAAAAGTGTCCAAGTCCGTAGGATGTCCATAGTCCATAGTACTAATAACTATACATACACTACATAAATGCACTAATCACAATATGGGCAATGTTCATGATGATATATGTGCAGAATTTACAAGACTTGGTTAAGATGTTGGAAAATATGAACAACAGGTATCAATATTCAAAAAAGTTACTTTCTTTACAGCGTTAGAATGAAGTGCATATATAGAAGAGCTCACACCAATATGGGAGATACACAATCATATAAAAATAGTAAAGACATACTGATTACAAGCACCAATCAGACATTGACAGGTGACCTGGCTGTAGGAACCAGGCCAGGTGGAAGACTAATCGAACGCGTCTGACAACTACGGAAAGAAAGTGGCACGACCATTGTCGTAGAAATTCTTCCTCCCCAAGGAAGAACAATTCCTCCGACAGAAACGATAAGAGCTCAGAGTAGAGGCGTTCCAGAATTGGAAAAAGAGCACGACGACGATGACCTGCCGCAACAGCTTCGTACCTATTACGCCATAAACAAAAAGCTCCTGCAGCTATTAGAAGGCGTGCAAAGCGACTACGCGAGCAGCGACCAGATGTTACAAAGCGATTTACACCTAGGCCACGAAAACTAGTGTTAACTGACTTCCAAAACACATTTGCAATGACACATTGCTGCAGCATATGCTGGTTAGACTCCTGTAACGGGCAGTTAGGACAAGTGGAAGGTGGGACCATGCCCCACCTCTCCTGTCTGTCCCGTGTTGGGAGTACTCTCCATCCAAGACGCCACATAAAGTCACGGAGGTGACCAGGCAAAAACGATGCCGTTATCGCGCTCCACCAGACATGTCTCGATCGTGCTAGACGGGCTGGAGGAACCAGAGGAAGCAGAAGAGCCGTTGTTGTATCTATAATGCGGCTTTCAAGAATGTCCACATCGGGACAAACCTGCTGCGCGTGTCGATAAAATGCTACTGCCGTTGAGTAAAATGCAGACACGTTAAGTGTTTGCGGTGCAGAATTAAGCCGTGCATCTGGTAGTAAATAGCGTAGTTTGGTGCCTAAGAAATAACAGGCAAGATCACGCGCGGGGCACTGATCATCATGCAACAACCGAAGTAAGAATCGTAGGGCAAGCAGCCGGCAGCGAACAGAGACGGATGGGAATGCGAATCCACCGCAGTTTCTCGGTTGCCCAAGAGCTGCTCGGCAAACCAGCTCTGTTCCACCCGACCAGACAAAGGAGCCAATGAGGGATTGCAACGACCTGGTGATTCGTAATGGGGGCTGTAAGACATGAGATATATACCATGCACGGCCACAAAACACCGTCTGTGCTAAATACCTTCTTTCGAGCATCGGTAAATCATACTCTTGAACTTCACGGACGTGTCGTTTCACATCTTTGACTACTGAATTCCACAAGGAGGCTGATATGCCGTAGCAAGTGTAATCATGCCCCAGAGTGCGAATAGAGTCACTGTTTTGAAGACCGAAAAAGGAACTTAGACATGCGTCTGGAGAAACAATGAATAAATATCGACATTTAGAAAAATTTAACGCAGCACCTGAAATCGTGGCTTGGGCGTCCCTCGTAGTACATAAACACCAGTGGCACATACCCGATATAGGTATAACATTTGACCTCCAAGGAGGTGCCGGTGAGAGATTTCTGCTGTGCGTTGTTTAACAATAAAAAAAATAGTGCTGAATGTACATGCCGATGGCTGCTAATGGGGAATGAGAGACAGAAGCATTCGGCTTTTAGTCAACGCGCACGCTGCGATCCCCATTAGCAGCCATTGGCATGTACATTGAGCACTATCGGACAAGAAAGGGTTGCTACATTATACTCGCTCGGTGTAACCTCCTTAGTTTTAGAAAGGTTTAGCGAGCGTTGAGCCGCAGGGCCATGAATACAATGAACTAGTATATACCATGAATGAATTCGAGGTGGTTAAAGGGGGGAAGCAGATACGAAGCGCAAGCCGTAAGAAATTAAAAGCTGAATCCTCCTGTCTCTCATTTCACATTAGCAGCCACTGGCATGCACATTGAGCACTATCTGACAGGAAAAGGTTGCTACGTTATACTCGCTGGGCCTAACCCCCTTGGTTTTAGAAAGGTTTAGCGAGCATTGGGCCGCAGTGCCATGAATACAGTGAACTAGTATATACCATGAACTCAAGGTGGTTGAAGGTGGGAAGTAGACCCAAAGTGCAAGCCGTAAGAATGTGTGCGTGTGCCACCTCTCGTTTAGTCCTTGGAATGTCCACTGAATGGCGGTGCTTCTATATGGGGAATATATGATAAAAAGATGTGAGATGGTGGGACTTGGAGTGTTGAATAGATGGAGGAACGGACACACAGACAGATGCATAGATGGACGCATGAACGGACGCAGGGGCGGATGCATGAACGAACGCAGGGACGGGCGCACGAACAGACGCATGGACGGTCACACGGACGGACGCATCGACGGACAAATGCTTCGCCCCACTCTCCATCATTCACTCCGTGGATATGCTGCCAATTTTTATTTTTTTTACGTGAATCGCAGTGAGACGCGACACTGAACTGCCTTCGTTTCCCATGGATTCGAATTCTCACGCTTTGCGCCTCGTGCAGCCGCCGTGTGTGTTCCAGCGCTCTGACTCACTCACTGGATTCCGTGCTGAACGGTTGTGGCCCCGCGATCTCCGACGACAGCACAGCTCGGGCCGATCCGCTCGACCTTCGCCATCTCCTGACGCCGTGAAGCTCTCGCTGAGTGGTACGCCGTTCTCTGACTCCTTCGACCATGTCCCCATCTTTCTCTATCCTATCTTTACTTTTGAATATGGATGTCCGCATCTCTATCCTTATCCCCTTCCCTCTTGAGCCACTGTTTAGGTGTCACACTCAGATGCAGACAGTTACGGGGCTCACTTTTACCTTCTTTTCTCTCATTCAGGAATCACTTCCCCCCCCCCCCCCCCAACAGCGCTCGTAAAGCTTATTTATCCTACTGCGCGAGCGGAAGGTGCTACTGATGGCATCGTGCCATGGGGCCGGACGGTCAACGCTCACCGCGAGCACGAGACACTAAATGTTCAAGCTTTAAAATCGGAGTGCCGGCCAGGCTACTACGAGTCCACCTACTTGAGCACAGCCGCCAATCTTCGCGAAGCTGCAAATGTCTGGGACCCCGAGATTTCCTTACATCCACCGACCGAAAGTCATTCGTCGAATCGAAGCGGAAAGTGGCTATTCTTACTGCTGCGACTAGGAATATTTTGGAGGATTTTACGAAACCACGACATATTTACGAGGGCTGCTGTAATGAAAGGCTGCCGAAAATGCGGCTGCTCAGCGTTATTTATTGTGCACCTAAACGAGACTCTATACTCAGCGACAACTTCATTTGGCACTACATCAAGGGCTACAGAGCAAACTCGCGTGCATCCTGCCACCAGTAAGCTCAATTCAACAATAGCGCTGACATTTTCAACGTCAAATATAAAGAATTTTTCTTCATTTACTGTGCAGAGCTATTTGATACAGGACGCAGCACACACCAACGATGCAGGTGTCTTTTGTTGAATACCAATGGTAGAGCCAGATCAAGTTTTTCTGCTCTAAGCGGAGCAAACACATTCCAATGGCGAATTGGGAGCAAGATTTCTGTTTTTAAATGACCAATTTAGAGCAACTGCAGAGCATGGATTGCTCCTTGGAGCGAGAATTCTTCCTCCGCCGAAATTGGCGGATTTGTTCGGAAGTTCACGGGGCGTATTCTGTACGTCCGCCTTTCATCCAATTAACAAGGGATGTTCGTGGAACGCTTCTAAATATATGAATGGTACAAACATTATAAACCTGACACGCGTGTCGTGTAGGAACATGACAACATACCACGCTCATAGCGTGCACGTGGCGAAATGAACGCCGGCGAGGACGCGCGCCACGTCACGTCGAAATGTATTGGCGCCTTGACTGTGGCATGTAGTCATGTTCTCACATGACAGGCATCTCATGATTATCATGTCTGCACCAGTATCATGCCTTCATCATTCATTCACGTCCCCTAATACCAAATTTGGTATAAGTGAAGCTAGTGAAACGGCCGCCAGCGCCTCATGAGCGTGGCATGTAGTCATGCTGTTACAGGACACACATCTGATGATTATCCTGTCTGCACCAGTCACATACCTTCGACATCCGTTCACGTACTGTAATACCCAATTTGGTATATGTGACGATAGCGAAACGGCCTGGAGCGCATCAAGAGCGTGGCATGTAGTCAAGTTGTTACATGACACGCATGTCATGATTTTCATGTTAGGGTCTGCCACTTGTGTTCACCATGCAATCATGCCATACCATACCAGTTTTGCAACATGCCATGTGAACGAAACCACCGCAAGAGCAGCAGGACCATGAAATCTAAATTGTCACATTCATGACATACATGTCATGATTTTTTATGACTAGTCAAATATGTTCTTCATACAGTCATGTTATGCCATACTATGTTTTGTATCGATACCATTATCGAAACGGCCAGGAAAGCTAAAAGTCGTAGGCGAATAGATAGATAGATAGATAGATAGATAGATAGATAGATAGATAGATAGATAGATAGATAGATAGATAGATAGATAGATAGATAGATAAATAGATAGATAGATAGATGGATAGATAGATAGATAGATAGATAGATAGATAGATAGATAGATAGATAGATAGATAGATAGATAGATAGATAGATAGATAGATAGATAGATTTAAAGTTGCCGAATTTTGCTAAGAAATGTTTCGCATTTAAACAAACTGAGACAGTGAATACGTCATCATGACTCTAAATATCGCGAAAATTTACGATGACATCTTAACGTCAATGTGCTGTCACATAATGGTACGTCAAACGGTGACGTCATGAGATGACACGGTTTGCCTGGTCAAAGTTAAGGCGATTCAGAAATCAGTGCAAAGCAAGGTGATGAGTAGAGAGCTTATAACGCAACGCCTCCGATGCTGGAGGCAGTGCGAAACCACCTTAATTGCAGGAAACTTTTGAAGGGAGGGACGAGAGGTTTAGTACACCTAGAGTTAATTTAGATGAAGCATATACAGTAATTTTATAGGCACATCGACTTGAAAAAAAAAGATTGCTTTCAGTTTCGAATCGACTGAGACGGATGCATATGGTAATCCGTAAGTTTTATTTATTATTATTATTATTTTGTTATTTATTGGCGCTCAGTATGATAAGTTATATGCGCCATTCAAATTTCATTGCGCAGTTACATCTTGCAGAATCAATAAGGAATCGTCCAAGAAGGTAAGCCATTGTTGCCAACGTTTTGATAAGAGGCTTATCATCGCCAGAGAAGTGTCGAAAACGAGTGTCCTTGTTGAAGCGTTGATTCTGGTGACGTTCATCACTTAAAGGCTCTCTTGAATTTCCCTCGAGTGTCTGTCTTAGGTATAATATAATCGGATAAAGGGCTCAAGGTCACAAGGCGCGCGTGACGTTTTTCTTTGGCCCTGTCATCCTTCCCTGCTAAGCTTCCAGCTGTTTTGACGGGACGAGAAAAGAGAGAATGCAATTGCAGCATGCGACAAACCTTTGTAACTGCACTCGCACTGGACGGATTCTTAAAACTTTTGCGGCATTGAATTCGTGAGGCAATAAGCTCTTCCAGCGAGTTCATGCCTTGGTTACTTGAAAACGTTTTTCAAGGCCCCTTTAATGAGAGCGCCATATCGGTCAAGTTGGAATTCTTAACTTCACTATACTGCATGCAAACAACAAAGAGGACCCGTACAACAGAAAAAACACAAACGAAGGTTTCTCTTCTCCGTTACCCCTTTTTTTTTTGCTAGGCGTACCGAAAATATGTTGAACCAAAATCATTTTGATCGTGTTGCTGATAACCGGAAGACAGGCACAATTCTGGGATAAATATGAGAACGATATCAAATCTCGTTTTCGCATGCCTTGCACTCTCTCCTTCACTTGTATGTATATATTACGCCTCATATTACGCCCTGCATTCCGTAACTCAGCAGGTTCATGCACATGCGTGGAAATGATCACGATGATCGCCTTAGAGAAATATAGGAACTAAGCTTCGATTTATTTTATTCACTTTCTATTTCACTGCTTCAGACACTCCTTTACCTAATAACCGATGACACCCAAAAATATTTCGCTTACACGCTTTGTGAGTATATACCAATTTAAAAGAACTTTTTATGTGTGGGAAGTCAAACTCTAAATATTGATATGAATTGTGCGCACATGAAGTGGCCTGTGAAAGACACCCATTTTTTTATTAACCTGTGGCATATATGGCTAGAATATGTGTAGAGTGTGAAGATAGTCGTGCTACAACCTTCTCTGCTAATTCAGTTCAGCAACTCGCCCAAAGCGCTATTTTTTAGTGCCCGTGAGCTTTCATTTAATAATTTGATTACTTTTAACTCAAATCAACTACGTGAAAACTGGCCGCAGCCCACGTGGGTAGAGCGATAAACAATCACGTGTCGACGTCCAAGGTCCAAAATATGTGACACCATCATGGCGTCACAGTGACATTAGGTCATCTGACATCGCATGATAATGTTACACCTGACGTCGCATCTCAGCGGTAGGCCCGTCACGTAATCAGTACAAAAGCACGTTAGGTGCGGAAAAACTTTCGAAGGTGGCATGGCAGGAAGGACACATAACTTGACAGAAAAAAATAAAATGGCTTTCGCCTTGATGCCATCTTAACAGAACGCATAAAGCACCCTGTCAGTATTTATTTATTTATGTATTTATTTAGTATGGGTTATAGAAACAGGACGTAGATTTGGCGGGTGATACAGGCCACCTTTCTCGCTCAACAGTCATTGCTCGTGCAGGTGTTTACAGCATGCCATTGTTGCGCAAGAAGTCTGTAATCTCACCCACCGTTCGCACTTGCACGAAGGCGTCGTCCAGGCTATCGTCTCGGTGGTACTTGCCAAGGTAGAGGCGCATGTCCTTTGGCGCATGCAGGTTACCACGGCGGTCCCTGGCCACGCAGTGCGCTGCCGTGACCACCCAACTCTCAGAGAGCAGCGCGCCTCCGCACTGCAGGTCCCAGGCTTTCTCGTGTTTTGACCACATGGCCAGACCCACCTGCCAGGGCCACTGGCCGGCTTCGCTCACGTTGCCGTGGTAGATGAATGGAGAACGCGGCGAGTCTGAGCGGCCGCACACTGCGATTCAATCACACGCGAAACGCGACACGTGAGAATCTCTATCGCCATAAATTCCGTCATATTGCTTCAAATCTCATCTCCAGAATTCTTTTGTGGAAGCATAGTTGTTTTGTGCTATGTAAATTTATTTCTATGACCCCTTTTAAGCACAGTAATACGCAATTCCATAAATAAACATACAAATTTGCTTCATATATGAAGTCTAACCGTGCATGGTATGAAACGGTCCGCGAAGTGGGTGATCAAATTTCGTGTTAGGCCAGGAAGAAGTCCTGTTGCATGGATGTAGTGAAGGTGGTTGAAAGGCAGTCCTGTAGAAGTCCACAACAAGATTGTCACAATCGCAATGCAAAGTGGGGCGTCACAAAATGGACAAGACCTATCTTGCACCCAAAGAGTAGGCATGGGTGAATAGCCTAAAGAAAGCTTTAGAGAAGTTGGTCAGCTCTGGGGCAGAGGGTATCAAGTGGAGGAACTTTAACACATCAAACCATTTGTTAGTTCCATGCGGCAAAAGTGGTAAAATAGAATAAACACTTTATTTGTTGTTCTGCGCGAGAAGATTGGTGAGTGTAATCCTTAGTCATTCGATAACATTGGCGCAGGCCATTTTCCTCACATGCTTCCCGGGGGCCTTTTGGGTCTTCGGATTTGAGATGGGTAGAGCTGCCTCCCACGCTTTGATGTGTTTTCTCGTAGGTTACATAGGCGAATTCTGTGAGCATATTCATACCAAGTTTATGGGCGCCTATAAAACAGCCACCCTGGTGTTCTATGTGTTCTATTGGGGTAGACGCTGCACTTTGGTGCGTGTTTGTCAGGATCTTTCTTCGACAGTGTATCGGAGTGAACAGGGTCTGCAGGTGACACCACACTACCTGCGATTTCTTACTGAGGTTTCGCTCCAGGGGCTGAAGTTCCGTCATCTGATTCGAGTCTTTTGTATTGCAGAATTTCTGTTTTGGGGAGAAGTGGGCCCATACACAGAGCCGAACGTGGGTCCGATATGTTGGGAACAGAGGTCCTGAAGAGTAATTCTCAGGCGCAGGCATGAGCAAAACTCATTGACTTTAACTCCAGAGGGGCTGGGTATCCATATCAGCTACGTGGAGCTTATAGCTGTGTAAGGATTCGGTGTGCAAAGGGGTCAATGTAGGTTTTCCAGAAACTTTGGTACGCTGCGTGCTTTTCAATCCAGTGGAATGAAGGTGCAGCCGGGGTTTCGTATAGGGCGAGGGCAACTCCTGCTTCTTCCTTGTTAGTGCAATCTCTGTCTTGGGCATACGTACAATCGATCTGCTTTTCTTGATGAATGACGGCTGCCGTGTATTTGCAGTTTAATGGTCCAGCTACATCGACGAGGAAAGCACCCTCAGTGTCTGAGTACTCGTCGTGAGCTTTGGCCCATTCTTGTCGTCGATGTTCGTGGAACTGTGAATGCACGCTGCGTGGTAGTGGTTTAGTGACGAATTTCCGCCTCCATCTATATGCGATATGTTGTTTCACCCTCCTACTAATGGGGGCTTCGATGCCAAGTTGTGATACTATTTTCTGTCCAGTTTTAGTGATGGCCACGCGCATGACTTGATTCGTGTGGTGTGCTCAGAATAATTCAGATTTGGTGTTGTGGAACCCCATTTGAGGCAGACGTTTCGGTAGTGTTCACGGGGGTACGTTTAGAGCCTTTTTGAGCGTCACATGTATGACTCTATGTTGTGATTACCCGCCTCCACGAACCTCAGGTAAAGAGAGCTATAAGTTGTGCGGTTGATAACAAATGCCTGAATGATACGCATTACGTCGTGTTTTTTTTATCAGTCTTCATCGGTTGATTTGATTGACTGATATGTGGAGTTTAACGTCCCAAAACCACCATATGATTATGAGAGACGCCGTAGTGGAGGGCTCCGGAAATTTCGACCACCTGGGGTTCTTTAACGTGCACCCAAATCTGAGCACACGGGCCTACAACATTTCCGCCTCCATTGGAAATGCAGCCGCCGCAGCCAGGATTCGAACCCGCGACCGGCGGGTCAGTAGCCGAGTACCTTAGCCACTAGATTCATCGGTTGGCCACCCAACTAACCATAAGAGTGATTTGTAGACAAGAAGTTTCTTGTTTATGTATAGAAAATGAGTTGTTGCGATTATTGAAGTAGGCCTCACGAATTCGCATGTTTTCAACCTCTTAATTTGAGTTCCATTAATTTGTCCTTTGAGGGACCTATTGTCACATGCTTCATTTTTACATATGCGGGTTTTGGACATTCCAGTGAAGCATTCCAGATCATTCTTGCACCCTTTTCTACGACGGAGGTAGCCGGTTGCAGAACTTCGTTTATCTGACCCTGGTTGCCAAAGCGGCTCTAGATTACGATGTCTTCCATATAGATGGTATGACGTACTTCCACAATTTGATTTACGGCCTCTGGGAGGCGCAACAGGGTGATATGAAAGAAGAGCAGCGAAAGGACAGCCCCTTGGACAGCACCAAAATCATCCATATTGATGGGTGGTGATTTAAAGTCTCCTATGTGGGCTATAGTAGCCGGTCAGCCAAAAATTTTTTCCGCACATAAGCATATATTTTTGCACGGCACTTGAGTTTTCTGAAGTTTTTGAAAATGGTGAAGTGCTGAACATTGTCAAAGACACCTTTAAAAGCAAATGCGAGAATGGCCCTTTCCACTCGAGTGGTTCCGCCAGTAATATGTCGTTGTCAGGTCCACTGCTAACGAGTGAGTTTGGCTGAACGCGCAATTATAAGTGAAGCACTTCGGCAGGACGAGTCAGTGTTTTCTACCTCGCAGCTAAATACATCAAAAGCGAAGAGATTGTGGTTTTGTAACAATCACGGTAAGATATTTATTTATTTAATATTGTCTATGATAGCAAAAAGCTACGTTAAAAATGTCGTAATCAGGCATGAACAGAAATAAAAACTTTGATACAGGCACCCTCTAATTAGTAAACGGTAAGTATTAACGCCAGGTATGCATTTAAGTCACTGTAAACGACACGCCTACTACCATCACTAAGGCACTACGAAGGTTATAACATTTGCACGCTGGTACTTTCATAAGAAGTTAGATTAATCGATTAAACTACTGACGCCTCCTAGTTCTGTGGAATACGACTACTTTTCAGGTCGCATTTTATCACTGAGCTGACGCTAAGAGCACGAATTCCACATATCGTTCATTCCTTGAAAATCCACAAACACTCGAACACCTGGGTCTAAAGAGAAAGAGCTCCCATATCATGATACTTTAAAGAGTGTCTTTCTTAGCACTGAATACCAAAAAAGTATTTTAAGACCTACACGGTGTTACAATACGAAAGAGTATTTAAAATAATTTTGAAATTATATGTGCACATATAAAAATGCTCGAAACATATTACAAAGGAAGTCTTGCAAGACGAGTTGAGGACCTTGTAAGAGTGAGCATATTAATGATTTATAGTGTCATTGTGATTACCAACTATTCAAGAAGTTAATAGACTGTCATTATATTTTTAGCATGACAGTACATGAATAATGTTCATCCTGTACAAAGACAACGCTTTCTGCACCTTCTGAACGCGGCCATCACTGCGCCGCATAACATAAACTCGCCTGGTATGCAGGTGGCGGTCCTCCCAGTCCAAGTTCCATCAGGCAGACACCGGCGCACCTCAGATCCCACTAGTGTGTAGAAGCGGTTCACACAAGAGAACGTGGCGCGAGTGCCAACTCGGTAGTGGCCCTTGGGAAGTTGCGCCGCTGAAGATGGGTCCAGAGTAATCAGCGACAGCCGAAGCCGCTGTCGGCCGGTCCTGTTTGAAAACGAGGAAAATTTTAGGCACTGAAACAGTGAGATGCTGTGCGACTTAGGCCAAGACAAGACACATATATATAGACATAGACGAGCCTTCGTCTCAGTTGTTGTCCACTGTCTTCGCGTAAATCGTGCTGCAATTTATCGAGTATCAACCAACTCCACGAAGTTAAGGTATTTAAACTGCGACACTGTTTAGAACGTGGGAACAGGGGGTGGGCGGACTGAGAAAGTTGGTTCTAAACGTGTCCGAAACGTAAAGACGATTTTACGCAAGGCAGCCACTCACTTGCTGCTTGCCCTTCAACAGCAAATAAGACTCGCCGTGTTATTGCGCACTTATTTAAGTAGCTCTGCGGGAATACAAAGCAAGCGCTGCCCAAAAAAGGCGTGCCATTGAGCAGAGACAATAAAAAAATTACTTGTGATCTTTCTTTTCTTTTTTCTTTCTTTCTGTCACACTCTACAATTCTTCTTTAACAATTATCCTCATACATGTCGGGAACTAGACCTAAGGAGTGTAACACATGATTGCAACGCTTATGTTGCGCTCCTGCTAAGGAGGGAAATTAACACATGCTAAGTAATGCAACACATGTTGCTACCCACCACAAGGGTGGTTATGCGTGAAGCAAAGAGGTGTGACAACGAAATAAGCCAATGTGAAATTACAAGTAGCCTCGAAAACAGCGCCTTCACACTGGGACATTTCACGGCTAGAGCGACGAGACACTGTTGTATGGAAATGAGATCACCCGCAAGAATGTTATATGCACGAACAGTCTCACACAAGTTTTTTTTTTTTTTTTGGAATCTGCCATCGCATTTATAATTGCGAATCACAAGGAACGCAAGTCGAGAAGCAAAAAAAGTGGCTGCGCGCTTTTGATGTCGAAGTCATTCAAACTCGCAGCGACACAGAAGTATTTCGTAATCATTCTTTTGTTCTCGGCGAGCGCCAAGCGAAAGAGAATTACTATTGTGCCCAGTAGAATTTTCGAGGGTTTAAAAAGTTACTCGCTGTAATGCACCATGCCATGAACTGAATAACGGTAGCGTTAACGATAACGGCAACCTTATCTTGCCGCCACCAAGCATCTCGAGTTTGCAAGACAGTACGAACCAATATCTCCTGCTTGTGCCATTTTGTCTTCGGTGAAATAATGTTTCTGCTTTTCAGACATCCCCAGAAAGCTGCTTGCGAGGAAGTCAGCCCTCCCACCATCAGTTCGGTGACGGTACTCTTGTTAATGAGTTTCGCCATAGAAAAAGACGAACACAAATCCGGGAGCTTCAATGTCACCGTACCTTCACACGTGTTTTTACGCAAGAAAGGCAGACATCCATGTGCCCTATTCTCATTGCTTCGACGGTGAGTTCGGCTTGAAGTGTGAAAACGTTGCGAAATTTTGCGGGTTTGTCCAAATACGCACGCCGACCAAACTACCGTTAAGGCGCGTTTACATTAGAGAGACAAGACACTGATTTTGGTCGGCGGGCTGTCTTTAGGAGTGTCTTTTCTCTTGTCGTCGGTCTAGGTACACTGCAAAGACACAAAAGTCCGCGGGTGGTATAGCGAAGACCCCGCCCACGTTTCGTCGTGCTCACAGTCTTTCGTTGACGAATTCTGCAGTTACATTGGAGGCAAACGCAGCGACACCGACTAAACTAGCACACCCGCACCTGATTTTCAGCCATGCTCCCCGCTCTGTCATTGTCCTTCTCCGGCTACGCGGCGCAGCCTTCTCCATAATCTATGGTAACGAGGGACTGGGGTGGTGCACACAATAGGGATGCGAAGAAAAGACTTCCGCTGGGTGCTCGAGCTGCCTATTTAGACGCCGAGGGAGCTTCGGAGAGGGCATTCTTAACTCCCCCGAATTTGCCCGCTTCATAGACGTTTAAAGCAAGGACATGGGGAGAATGTTCGCTCAGCTGCCGATCTCCCGATGACACGCTGACGAAATGTCTGCGGATGCGTTTTGCTGGGGTTGTCGGTCTCTCATCATGTTACACTACGATGAAATGCTGTCTTTTGGAGCGTCGTCATCGTCGTCGGCCTAGTGTGACCTTGGGGTCTGGCGACTTCGTCGGCGGGCGACTCGTCGGCTGATGGTTTGCGTCTGCCTCGTGTTTTCGTCAGGGTTACGTCAGTGTCGGGTCGGTCTAGTGTAAATGCGCCTTTATGAACATTCTGCAGCACATGTTGGAAACAAGTGCCACCCGTATTACACTCTGATCTATCACAAGCCAATGGTCGTTCTCTTTCTCTTTGACATCGTGCACTTCGCGTTTGTTTTTGTGTCGTCGTGAGTGGAGGTCACGGTGGCTTTGGTTCTCTTGGGGTGTTTTGACTCGCCTTCCGCTCCCCGTGCGATGAGAACGTGTCGTGCTTAGCATGTCAAGAGGCATGCAATTTTGATATTTGAAGAAATCAGCTGGTGTCCGAATCCTTGACGTGAGTGAGACGACTATCTGTGAGTAGTGGCTCCGGCAGGAGCCCTTTTGCAGGCGCGAGGCACGGACGAAAAGATTTCCGTGGGCCTCGTTATGGGCACCACTGTTGAATTGAACTGAAGCAGCGTGTCACGTATTTTGTTACAAAGCAATTCAATCACCTGTGGTGGTCAGTGTAGAACTGGTACAGTTAAAAGCGAGCCATGTCGATTGATATATGGTTCTCTGCGATGTGCTAAGCTCAACGGCATGGGATGCGGGGAGACCCATCTTTTACTGGACGAAACAAATAGTCGCCCCTTGCGTTTTTTTCTGCGGTTTCATGTTTTTTTACGGGGCGCAATAGCAGATCAACCCTCCCGTTACAATCGTGGACCTGTTACATCTGAGTAAAATTGATATATGATTATTTTACATTCCATGCTGTCAACACCACCTTTCCTCTAAGTACTTGATCACCGCATGTACGTATTGACATGCGTACGTTTTCACACGTGCGAATCGCTCGCTGGATTACATGCCGACCGGTTGTGCCCTCGCGATCTCCGGTGTCAGCGTAGCTCTGGCCGACTGGGCTCGCCCTACGTCATCTCCTGGCGCCGACCTCCGACGACAGTGTACCTCTGACCGACTGGACTTGCTCTACGCCATCTCCTGACGCCGACAAGAGCTCTCGCAACTGGTTCCCTATCCTCGGACTCCTGTGACCGTGTTTCCATCTTTCCTATCTCTCCTATCCCCTCGATATGTCGTCGCTCTCTGGCATACTTGTTCTCTCTCTCTACACCTTTATTCCTGTCCTTTTAATCCCTCCTGGCCCTAAATCCTTGTGAGCTGCTGTTGAGCTGTCGCTCGCTGAAGCAGACAGTTACGGTGCTCACTTTTTTTGTTCCTTTCTCTCTCTTAGAACCACTTTACACACGTGCCATTAGAGATACTTAGTTGACAGTCTGCAACAGCTTTGCGTATGCAGCGTGCCATTGGAAATGGCTAGCAGGCCACGTCAGCAGAACTGCTCGGATTCCCACTAAATTTGTATGTTCACGAAACAGTGGGCACTCACTTGAGTCCACTGCCGCCTTCGTATACGTACTCCACTTCACCGTACGGAGGTACCGGTGGCTCCAGACACGTTGTCACTGAAACAAGCAGTATATTGTCTGTGTTATCAATACTTTGCTAAATATAACTTCTTAATGCCATAGAGAATTTAATGTCACAACAATTCTTCTTTCATGTTAGCTATTTCTTGTGCTAAGCAGAGCCGAAAACACTTGTTTGTGAGAAAATAAGACACCGACAAATAGTGGAAGAAAGCTTGCTTTGGCAAAAAACTTGCTAACTGGCTGTCCCCAAAACATTTGCATTGTTGTCTAAGCGTGGAGTCGTAATAGGCGCTTTCCTATAGATTTCAATAGGTTTGGGGAAATCACGCTTACGTGGCTGATAAAAGAATACATGAATCGGTATAACACGAATGTGAAACGCACGCATCGTTACAGATATAACTGAGCGTTCTTTGAGCATAGTTTTCGCAACAAATGTATGTATGTATGTATGTATGTATGTATGTATGTATGTATGTATGTATGTATGTATGTATGTATGTATGTACGTACGTACGTACGTACGTATGTATGTATGTATGTATGTATGTATGTATGTATGTATGAAGAAAAAAATGCAAGCATGGCAGGAATTGCCTTACCCTTAACAATTTTTCTTGGCAATCGCAACTGTGCTTGGTTCTTCCTAAGTATTAGGATTGTTTCAAGTTGCGGGAATATGAGGGCAACTGATTGCTCTCAGTTAGTTAGAGTACGTAAGTGTTTGTGAGAGTATGTAAGAGTAACGGTAGCAAGAGTATAGTGAATCGTTTTTTTTTTTTTTCTGGCAGGGGTGTGGCAGGGGTGGTCGCATCTGGATAAAATCGAATTCCTAGAAGCCAGTATGCTAAGGTAAACAACACCGCAGCTAGTCTAAATTGGCAAAGCCCACAACAATGGTGTATTTTTTATGATAAAGTGCTTTTATGGTGTGAATTATCCGTAATAAATATATTTTCAATATTTTCTCTAGATCGCTTACATTTTATTGCGATAGCAATTATAAGGGCACTCTGGGCTGGATTTCGCCGCCGGTGTCGGCGTCAATGTCATGCACCGTATATATATATATATATATATATATATATATATATATATATATATATATATATATATATATATATATATATATATATATATAACGTCTATATATATATATATATATGTGTGTGTGTGTGTGTGTGTGTGTGTGTGTGTGTGTGTGTGAAAACGCAACAAAAAAAGTTTGAAAATGAAAAAAGCACTCCAGGACGCGAAATCGAACGTGGGACCTCTGCGTCGTAAAACCGAAGCGCTAACCACTGGGCCACCACAGAAAAAGTCCTGCACCATTCAAACGGCAAGCTATTTATATCTACCGCTTACCGTTCCTGTGTTTTCGGCATTACAACAAAGATGGAGCAATGAGCGCACGTCACCACATCGCGCAGTGGCACCCGCTCTAATCTCCAACGCGTATTTTGCCTGGCTTAGAGACGCATAGCTACGCTCCCTCGCGCGCCCTTATCTCGCGGTGGCGAGGAGGGGAGGATTGTACGCCTTTGCTGGCCTCGGGCTTTACGTGGAACGATTCTACTGTAATTACCGGTGTAATTACCAGCACGTGACCTTTCAAACTGTTGCTATCACGTTCATTGCTTCGCCTTTGCGGCAAAGCTGCGACTTTTTTTCAAATGTGCAAGTATTTCTACGTGAAATAAACCAGAAAACTCACAGTCTTTATGCTCACCGCTATATGCAGAAATAAATGAGCGCATAAAACAAACAAAACCATTTTCTTGCCCTTACTTGGTTTCTAACCCAGGTCCACATGCACCGAAAGCGAGTGTCTGCGAGTGTCTTAAGTGCACCCAGACTTGCTGCATGACAATTTAAAACGGCCAAGTGAGCCTGTTGTGACAGCCGGTACAAAAAACTGTATATTATATGCAAACAGCTTATGGTATTGTACGTCACCGTAGCCAGGCCAGTACTCGGAACGCCCATTATATGGCTCTGTGGCAGAGTGCTCGCCACACACCGGTGCGTGCTCTGGTATGATGGAGACTGCTAGCAGTGCTGCGCTGCTCAGTAAAATAAAAGCGCTTAATCCTCTCTATCCCCCCCCTCACACACACACACACACACACACCGCGTAGTGGTATAAATGAAGACATGAGCAAGAGTGCGGCGGAGGCAAGCGCTCGCAAAGCGGCAGGGTGCGGAAGCATGAACGTCTACTGTGATGGATAAACAGCACCTCTATACAAAACTTTACAGTTGGTCTATGACTGCTTCGCAACAACGTAAGGTTCCCTGTATGGGGAGACGTGTGCGATCTTTTAAAGCCCGAGTTCGAACATTTTTCGGTAGTACAATAAAAAACATTGTAAAGAATTATATAGCGTTGCTATGGAGTATTGCACATATCGGGAAACTTGCGGCTCTGCGAAAAATTGATGTCGAACTTGCGCCTCTCTTTGAGCCTGCTCAACGCCATCTTCACCGTATCATTTTATCTACTTTTTAATAGGCGATTTCTGATCGTCGAACCCACAATCGACAGCTTCCTGCACCGAAAAAAACACTTGGGGGAAGTGTGAAGCAGGGGCGAGGTCAAGCGCGTGCTTTCACAGGTGCTTTTAAAAGCAGCAATTGTTTTGTGCTTCGCCAAGAAAAAGCTCCGATTTTTTTAAAATCGTACTTGCATAAATTTTTCGCAAACTGTGGTTATTACCACATAATTCGGCCAAGCTGCACGCACGAGGCAGGTTTCGAGCATATTACTCGGGAGGTTTTCTGTGTGGCCGCCATTTGTTGAAACATCTTTTTCTTGAAAGACCATAAACGATTTTTCTGGTAAAATAAACTTGGACTTTGACTTTGGAACAGAACCATGAAACATAAATAGTATTTCAGAATTGTTGCTGACATTTTAGTTATTCTAGATATTGGTGTCGATACGTCTCTGAAGTCCTATTTAGAAATGAATCCTATAAATACTATTAACGTCCAGTAAATGGTGACATTAGCTGACAGTTTATTCAATCGGGCTCCGGCCCCCTAGGTGGGCCTCTTCGTAAATGAGCTGCCCCCTACAATAGTTATGGTACAAGTTGAGTGATAACGAATTGTGAATTTCGTAGACGCGCACATGAAATGTATATCCTCTACGTATGGCCATTAACACACGTCTGAGTGATATCCTTACATTTCATGCAACGTGGCTTGGGTGCTGTCCACGTCCGGTTCCGGAGGCAGGTGATGCGGCTCTCACCGACCAGGTAGTGAAGCTCGGCGCAGCGGTAGGCAATCTGCGTCCCCTCGAGCAATCTTCCTGTGACTACTTGATTCATCACTTCGGCTGTGCCGTTCACCAGCGGACCAGGGTCATCGCAAAGGGCTGCGAGATTCACATGTACACGATCCAGAAGTCAGCACTAATAATTCATTTTAGATTGAATTTTTACTGTCGACGACAAGTATTTCACATTTTTTACTTGTTTCTTGCTTGATATATATTGTTAGTTTTGGTTTTACTTCCTTTATTTTATGAAGAATGGAGAAGCCGATATCCGGAACTAGAAACCCGTACTTCATATAAAAACAGATATTATAACCGTAAGTATACTTTTCTCTGACAGATTTCAGTACGTGATACTGTTTACGTTTTTTTGCTTACTGCTCGCGTTTTTCTTGACGGATGTTGAGGTCACTGGTCGCATATGGCGCCTTTGGAGAAAAAGTGTTCCACCTTCGTCGCCTTGGCAACGAGTGGCGCTGGCTTTCACGCTTAGACATGGGCGTAGCCACAAATCTTTTCTCGGGAAAGGGGGCGGGAGTCCGATCAATTTACCTCGTACGCGTGTTCGTGTGTGTGCGTGTATACAAACGTATCCAAAACTGAAGAACATAGAGCGAGAAAGGGGATGTCAAATATTGCTGTTCGTCCTGCTTCCTTATACTGCTCCACCCCGACAACCGGTGTCAGATGGCAGCGTTTCTTTCATGACGCTGAACACTCACCTTGAAACTGAGCCATATCCATCTCACACACGACACCGTGAACCCCCTCACAGGGGTTCCAGCGCACGGCGTTGGCTCGCATCTCGGACGCAGGGTCAGCTACGAAGCACTCGCCGCTGTGCCCTCCCGAGCGACGCCGGCGGCGCTGCTGGGCCAGGTCCTCTTCATCCTCATCCGAGATATCTTGCACCCAGGACAGGCCCACATCTGCGCCCATAACAATAGAAAGCATTAGCCAAGGTGAAGCCCCATAAGGTTCTGCGAAGGCTTCTGGGCGTACCTTAACACACAACAGCCTTCGTAAAATAGTTGAGCATCCGCCGCTGCTGTGAAAGGCAGAGAATCTCAGCCGCCAGGTACCTACTGGCAAAATAGGTACAAGTGCACTTCTGTCCTGGTGCTTGGCAGAACAAAGTTATAGTCTTTTGGGAGGGCACCCAACCCGTAGGAAATTGGCGGCATGGTACCGCTAGACCAAAAATTGAAGTATTGATGGTCTTTTTTTCATATATATATATATATATATATATATATATATATATATATATATATATATATATATATATATATATATATATATATAACAGAGAGATCAGAATGCAACGCGTGCCACCTCAACTCTAAAACGTGTGGCGTTAAGCCACTCGGCAATAATGACTCGGCCATGAAAGCGCCAGTCTTTCAGCATACTATAACGGAGACCTATATATGAACACCGTTCATCGCAGGAGGCACGCTGATCTCGGTGTCCTTTGAACATGTTCTCTGCATTAGCAGCGATATGGCGTGAAGAGCGTGCTCGATGCCGCGCTCGTCACGAAGCGTGCGCTCATCTTGTACTTTGCCCTACGGTGCGTTGGCGGCCGCCATGTGTGCGGGCGCTTATCTCGGAATGGACGAAGTTTGTACGTCTTTTTCTCTCATCGCAAAGATTGCGGTGTAGTTATAGAGCGCACGAAGGTCACTTCGCTCGCTGCACAGTCCCCGTTTACGAAAGAAGTGCGCTGTTCAAGCACAGGCAAGTAACAGTTTTGACACTATAATTAGTTCGCGCTAATCCTTTGTATACCTGTGTGAACGTTTCGTATGTCCCATGTGCTCGAGCACCATGACAATGGTCCAGCAGTGAACGTTGATAGTTTGAGGTCATCATGTGTATGTTTTTTTTTTTTTCGTGCGTCCTTCGTTCTTTAACAGCGTGCTGCACGTTTTGATTTGCTCGTCATTCTTTGCATGGCATTGCAATTTGTTGATATTGGGCTCATTGTTTCGCGTTTACGCCGAAGCTACGACGATCACTTTCTGGAATTACGTTTTGTAAATGAGTGTAAGGTAAATCGCAAAAATATTTGTTGAAGACAGCAGTGACCAATAACGGTATGTGGACCGCTTAACACACGTAATTTTTTCGGGCCGACCAAGAGTCGTTTGAAACGCAATATAGAGAGATACCAATAAAACTTCGAAAAAATACTAGCTTAGAAAAATATCCTCGCGATCTAGGCCAGGGATCATTCACTGGCGGGACAAACATGCCACTGCCCCATTGCCCACTCTTCAGCCTTATGTTAAGTACAATCATTACGTGTTTAAGGATTCTTAGCTCGTGGACAAGCATTAGAAGGCATCATTTGTTCGACTGCACGGCACATTACTGTAGGTTTCACTAAATAAACCTTTGTGCTCGTACATATTTCTGAAAAAAAAGCTAGTTTGCCCTCACTTGAATCCTTGAGAAGCACCAGCAAGGAATCCTGAAATCCGTCTTCACGGAACTGCAGCAGCCTCGATCCAGAATTCCTGCAGTAATGCTTGGCCCGGAAATAGCTGAGTTTATGGCGTGTGGCGAGGAAGCAAGTGTCCCCCACTGGTTTCCAACCTGGCCGGCAGCCTATGAAAAAATCAGAACTTTGTCATAAGTAAGAAATTTTCTAACCCTTTTCACTCGTTTCCAAACGCAGACCTGGCATGATGTATGAAACATTATCTTTGCCGCAAAGTTTATGTTTGCATGCGCATATAATTTAATGAGGTATGTAGTGCCTGCTTTACTATATCTTCAAATGGTCTTATAGGAACAGCTTTTTCATGCACTATTTTTTATGACCTTATCTGAATGTATATGCATTGCATATGGACCACAAGGTCACTTACTAACTGATGTTAGCTTGTACAAACAGCCACTACCAAATCAGCCCAATTTGCACCAAAGCTGTCTTTCAACGGGCTGAAAACGTGCGTACTATGCTGAGCGCAGTAATAAAATGCACGGTACCTTTTTCAACTTTAGGCGTTCTGTCTTCAACGAAAGTGAAACCAGGCGCAGCTTCTCGTGACCTAGAAATTCGCGAAGACGAACAATTCACCACTTTGAACTTCTATAGAAACTGTCAAGTTGCCTGCGATACCTTTCACGCATTTTACTATTGCTTGTGACACATTACTATAATCGTTATTACAATATTTTTGTTTTTGCTCAGGCAAATACCGTATCATAATCAACAATCTCAAGTGTTACATTCTTGTGCGTATCTTGTGTGCGGGTGGATATTGGCAAATCTATTTTATGAAGCACACTTCAGCCTCACAGGCACCACCAATGCTGCTTTCGCTAACAGGAGACATATCGTGGTAATCCCGCACTGTGAATGGCATTCGGGACTAGTCTACAGGGTATTCATACGATGCATGAGAAGCCGAGAGTGCCTCACAGCTTCTCACACAGCTAAAACTGTCATCTAGTTGTTGGCAGCGCCAAGCTACGAGAAAATAGAAAATTTGTACGCACATCTGAGAAAGAAACTTTCAAGTAGATAAAAATCCATCTAGGTCACGGGTTGAAACCCGACCTCAACAAATCTTTCGCCAGCAGGCAGAGCTTCGTTCTGAAAACCTAGTATTAATTTCTAGAAATTCATGAAATCTCTAAGTGCGATCACTGGTATAATATTACAAAAGTGTGGTTCTGAGCGGTTATGTACGATTCTTTGTGTAAACGTTTCTCTGCTGTAACATGTTGCGATGTGAATGATCTTCTCTGCCTTGTCAAGAAGCTTTTGGTCAGGAGTGCCTCTAGCATATTATTGCGATAGCAACTATATAGACGCTCTCAGCTGCATTTTGCCGCCAGCATCGGCGTTGACGTGCGCGTCACCATCACTAACGGTATGTGTATACGTATCTATACATATATGAAAATTAAAAAAAAATCCACGAAAGACTAAGGCGCACAGAACCGAACTTGGGTCCTCTGAATCGTGAGTGTGAGGCGTTAACCACTGAGCCGCCGAGTAACACGTCTTTCAACGTTCAAATAGCAAGCTATCTATGCCTACCACTTACCGCTGCTGACGGGCATCTCACAGGGGAACTATCGTGTTTTCAGCATTACCAGCAAGATGGCGCAATGAGCGCAGGTAGCCACATATTCACGACGCGGCGGCGCGCGCTCTGATCTCCCACGCAAATTTGGCCCCGCAACGCAAAGAGCAGGGGGTCGACGCTCTGTCGCACGTCCTTATCTCGTGGTAAGGAGTATCGTACGTCTTGGCTGGCCTTAAGCTTTTACCTGAACGATTCTGTTTTAGTTACCAAAAATTACTGAAATGGTGGCACAGTCTCCGTTTGCGAAAAGAGGGCGCTTTTCAGAAGACCTCAGTAGAGTTACTGTATATGCTACCTTTAGGTAGCAAAGTTGCGCTAAGGTACGCCAACAAATGCCTTGCGGGAAAGCCACTCGCACCAACGTAGGAGCAACGCTCGCACTTCAGAGTGCTACATTGTCCCTCAATATTGAGAGACTATGGTATTAGCGTGGCTTTATTTTTTCGTTTTCTTTCTATTTTTTTAAAGGTATAAGTAAAACTCGGTTGCTCCGGTCACGCCTAGAAGCCTTATTATAATGCTTATGTTCTTGGTATGTAATAATAAAACAAAGTGCGTCGGCTCGTTGAACCAGTAAGATGGTTGGTTTATACTAGCTTTTTATTTATGGTTGGTTACACTAGCTTTGTCTTCTTTTCCGCTGTTTTTCCAAGTTACAAATATAAAATTATTTTGGCACTTTTGATCGCAATAGAATCAGTTAGGGATGAATTTTTTTCATCGTGTTGGACTAGTTCGTTAACTGTGTGAGGGAGCCAGGTGTAGTTTTATTGCCTTCAACTGAATCAAGCCGGATAGTTACCGAGAGTATCCGTGCGACGTCCATATTACGCGCGGCTCTATATTTCGCTCGTATTACAATCACGGCTCACGACAGCTGATGTGAATCATTGTTCAACAGCCCTGTCGCGCCCAACATTCCTTCCGCGTAAGGTTTGAAAGCTGCATTAAATTCGCCTAATTTACACGCTAGCTGCAACACCTTGACAATTTGAATAAGCCCAGTTTAACTTATTATTCCTCTATTTTTAGTGTTATACCAGTCAGACCAGTAGGGACGTATGCAGCCGACACACGCTGACCAATTCTGCATGTATAACGTAATAACTGCATCTGTGGGTAATACATATTTAGCAAGTTTGCAGTGCCATAGATAGATAAAAAGAAGTCAAACATTTATTTCTTCCTCACTGAACACTTATCTTTCTCTAGCAACACCCGCTGATTTGATTGATTTGTGGGGTTTAACGTCCCAAAACCACCATTTGATTATGAGAGACGCCGTAGTGGAGGGCTCCGGAAATTTTGACCACCTGGGGTTCTTTAACGTGCACCCAAATCTGAGTACACGGGCCTCCTTCATTTCCGCCTCCATCGGAAATGCAGCCGCCGCAGCCGGGAATCGAACCCGCGACCTGCGGGTCAGCAGCCGAGTACCTTAGCCACTAGACCACCACGGCGGGGCCTAGCAACACCCGCTGCACACGCGTTTAATCACATGGGACGTAAGTAGTACAATTTACCACAGAATGCACTTGATACCACATTTCTCTCGACCAACATGACTACAGTACCGAAGAAGTGCGGCGAGAATAACAACAGCTGATGTCAAACAAGCTTGATATGCCCTCAATCATCGTAGCGTTGGCTTCTCCGCAGTGCAGTTGAACCACTTATGACCACGTGATGGCGCTCGGCAAATAGAGGCACTGAACTTCTGCAGCGGCACCGCTCTGCTACCTAAAGGTAGCATATACAGTAACTCTAGACCTGAGAGTAGGTTTCATGCGTCATTTGTGCGAGAGAAACGCGAGGCACGTTTCGATTTGCGGGCAATTCTGCACGTGACCTTCCAATTTGTTGCTACCGTGCTCATTGCTTCACCTTTGCGACAAAGCTGTGACTTTTTATATAATTTCGTAAATAAAGTGTACTGAATTCGTTTGAAATTTCTTGTATCTTTGTCCAGAGAAAAGCTGCATGTGGTTTTATTTTTATTTAATGAGCCGTCTTCCTCCACGCGGGCTTCCCCACAACTGTCCTGCCGTAATGAAAAAAAAAATACTTCATAAAGGGCTGTATATGAGACAGTACGTCTCACCCAACGCTGTTGATGCCATTGGCCTGCGATGCACCGAAGTCGGCGAAGTTACCGCTGGCAACCAGTGCCACCGTTCCACCGGCGTCGTTCAGGCGGCCCGCGTGCACTGCCGCTCGGCAAAGCGCCGACAGCTGGTGGTAGACCACACTTCCGATCACCGTGCCACTCTGCGCACACCCGGGGGGACAATACGCCCTGCCGAAGTGACATTATCAGAAGGTAGCTGTAATACGTCGGTAGTATTCAACAATGACGTCATCTTGCTCAATTTATTTGTTCTAAGGTGCCCCACGAATCAGGCAATTAACTTTAAAAATCCATTCTGTTATTGGATTGTAATGAATGTAGCTGTGCGTTTACACATTCGAATGTGCCGACGGCGTGCTACAGTTGAGTAGAAAAAAGTCGATTAAGAATTTGTTGCATTGTCTCAAAGATATACGCCCTCGTAATAAGAAACTATTGCAGCAATAAGTTCCTTTAACTCATTAGAAAGAGTGACTTATGCATACATATGAAGACAAATTCACCATTTACATCAGTGCATAAGCCAACATTATTTTACATGGTGTGCATATAAAGTTTTTGATGTACACGTTCTACCTACGACAAAGGCGATGCACCATCTTGAAAAGGTACCATGAATACTTCTAAGTTACGAAGAAGCATTGCATTAGGACGACTTGTTCTTGCTAACTGTTCTGCTTTTCAGGCACACACAAGTTGAAAATCTATCAAACTTAAATCTAATCACCCACCCATTTTTACACAGCTCCGGCAGGCATCAAATGAACTGATTAATGAACAAGACTTTGAAGTACAAAAAGGCCTTCTTTAATATTAGAACTTCTCACAAACTGATTGCGGGGCTATTAGTTATGGTTGCCCATAAAAGTAAGTCTTACTTAAACACTCACAGCATTCCAAGCTCAATGCAGATATCACAACCATCCTAAACATTTGGCGAAGAACGAAAGAAAAACAGAATTTAAACGCAAAGTAAACACAAATATCGCTTTCTTGTGTCATCAAATGTCTTTGGCTGGTGTTTTACACCAATTTTCATGAAGTGCTTGCACGATAGAATACGCCGGGAGTCCTTCAAAACGACCAACGCTTCGACAATTTTTATTAAAAAAATTTTATTTTACCTGACAGGTGCAGTGTAAGAGGAAAGAATGTCCAGCGCTTTGGTTTCGCAGTTGACATGGTTTTCGGAGACTGTAAAAACAATATCACGCATAGCATGTCGATCAATAAAATGCGCAAGTGTTAATTAGAAAAACAGAAAGCAGCGCTGGAAAGCAGGCATTTTTAGCAACAAACAAAAAAAACGCCAGGCCTGCGCGGAAGGCACAGCACAGTCACAGCGAAAACTAGAAGAGTGGCCCTTCAGAGCCTTTTATAAACACTGATTGGGTAACTACTGTGAGCACACCCGCTTGATACCCACTAAGGCATTAATAATAAAACATTTCGGTAGTAGGCCACCATTAGCTATGCAATTTTTGTCAATCTTCTGAAGAGTAGTATCCACTAAATACTTGCAAGGAATTTCGTGCCAATTGTTCATGCAGTGACTGACAACAATGAAGAACTATTCCCTAGGTGGGCATGCGCCACAGTTAATAAATGAACAAGAACAAGCTTTTTTAATGGGTTGGAGCATTGAACGGCCCACTCGTTACGCTGTTCGCATTGTGCGACGACTGGTTGTTCTTTCGCTGTTCTAAAACGCTTTATACGTTGCATTAATGCGATTGCTCCCCAGACATCAAGCCTACATATTACAAGTTTGCCAACAACACCCAGGCACCGGCGTGGCTCAGTGGTACAAAACTGGGCAGCCACCCAGCGGACCCGGGTTCGAGCTCCACCGTATCATAGGCACTAGGTTTTTTTTTCTAATTTCATACGATGTGGCTACGGACACCGGCGTTGGCGGCAGCGAAGAACTACGGCGCCTCGCGCGACCCGAGTTTCGATCTCATAACAGCTTTCGCTGTAAACGATCTTTGCCAAAAGCTAGCACATGACGAATGGAAGGCAAGACTCTTTCATCTCTTGCTCGGGTCAATGTCAGTCGGCGCCTGCACTAAACTACTCATGCGCAACTCTCCTCTATCCCTCTCTCCAACAGTTGCGTGTTACTATCTCGCAACGCAGACGCAGGTAGCGTCTGCCAGCGAGTTTCTTGAATGGAAAAAACGAACTACTGCTCGAGCTGCACAACTTTTGACTGGCCACCGCGTATATAAAGACAATGGATCTGTGCGTTGTTGAAATAAGGAAAATTACAGCATGAGTAAATGATGTTGGGTTGGGTGAGGCGTTTGTCTGTCTGACCCTCTGTTCTTCCGCTTTTTTTTTTTCACTAGAGGACACATCGAACGGACGGACTCTTCACTCTATTTGTCATTATTTACTCCGTGGATATACTGTGAATTTCTCATTATAACAGCGCCACCAATCCTCTTTAATTGTTAGCTATACAAGGACCACTAACGCCATCAAGGGATATAGCTTCCACGCACATATCGACACACCGCTATCTATCGAGCAATTCTTGAAACTAACAAGTGGCTACTACAGCATACTACGAGGGAACAACCCACACACTAAGGAGCTTCGCCCCTAAATGTTCGCAGTGTGCGCATTAACTAAAAGCAGACTGTGGTTCTCTGTGTCCTAGTGGAGTCCTCTGGTGGACAGGCTCACTCTTGTTAGGAATGCAACTGCATTACTGGCCGTCGTGGGTCTTAAACCAGTGAGATCTGGGCTGGTCTCAGTTGTTCGGGGGTTCTAGTCACGAAACTTTACATATAGCAGCAATATGTATGTTCCAGTAGCAAACACTGGTCCATCAATGCGTGCTTTGCACCTCCCAAGGTTCCTCTCCAGCACAATGTTGTGATGAGCGCCAGCGTCAACGTAACCGCCATTATAAGCGGTAGCACCTGCTGCTTCACATATACACATTGTTCCCTTTAGTAGGAGGTGGCGGAATTTTTTAGATTTCTTTTATATATATACACTATTTTTGCGGTTTTAACCAGCTGGCACTTTAGCTTCTGACTCTTCAATTATGAATTAATTCACGCATTTATTGAAATGGTGCTTACAACCAATATTCACACTGTGTCGTGCTGGTAATGCAGAGTGCATGAATGAAGGCACACGTAGAAAGAAAGGATTGCAAAAAATCAGCACACCAAGGACGAAGGAAATGACCCCTGCGCTGTTCTCTTTGTGCGATACTTTCTTTCTGAAAGAATTCACCAAGTAACCCAAGAAACGTGGGCTCCTTATAGTTCTGGTTTACAAGAGTGGGATCCGCTGTCATTATCTTTCAAATTCTTTAAGAAAGGGTCTGACGATTCATATGCAATAAAGTCCTTTACTATTCTCAACTATAAAAAAGCCCATGTATTTTACACAATGGTTTGCTCAATGCATTTTGACTGAAAGTGTTCTGCCTTAGCACGAGTTCACTTGTCAATTTCATACTACTTCAGTGACATTTCAGTAGATTCAGGATACAATGACGCTGCAGAGCAGACAGATTTGTCTGCATCTTGAACTATGCCTGCTGTTTATTTCCTGTACCTCATACTACACACAAACCTACTCCTCGTTCATCGGCCTACAGAAAACGTTCCAAAATGCACGGGTATTTCTTAGAAACAAGGAATACATGGAATAAATAACATACTTATCAGTCAGTCTCTCATCCATCCAATCACCAAATCAATTCATTCCATTATTAGACGGTGCAGATATAAATTAGCTTCTATGTGTTACGCATATGGCTTCCACAGCACAGAATAAATGGTCACGTACCTTTGACACAAGCAGGCAGGCTCGCAGACCATGTCCCGTCGTCTCTGCACTCGAGAACATGCTCACCGACAAGGTCAAAACGATCGTCACACAAAACCTCCACGGCACTACCATTGGCGTATGTACTGTCACCACCACCCGGAAAGGAGACACGCCGATCCTTGAAGTGACCGTTAACCACGCGGCCAAGGTCCGGGCAGAAAGACAGTCGTTCTGCGGGAAATTCGTGAGAAAAAAAAACTGTTAATGGCAGCGAACGAGAGAATCAAAACTTACACGAGTAATGTTCGGAAAATCAACAGTTAAGGGATCCAAAGCTCACTCGAAATGCTTTGCCATTTGTACTCCTTTAACGAGCAGCGCAAAAAACGACAAGATATAAAGAAGAAGCGCACAGCGCTGACTCCCAACACTGTGTGCATCGTCTATTCTATGTCTTGTTCTTAGCGTTGTTCCTCGAAGTGTGCACAACTGAAATGCACAGGTGTCTGCGCTTTTACAATTGTATAAAGCTCTATGCAACTGTATAAACAGACGACCTCTGCCCAGTAACGCTTCTGATGTGGTCTGACCGAGCTTTGGTTTCCTTAAACCCTCGCCGGCATAGTGAAATGGCAGCTTGGTTGCCCATGCTGTCTTTGTACGCACTTCGTGCAGCCATCGCTTGCACAGCTCTAGTTGAAAACACATCGAATATCTATGTTATGCCTCTATGTTAATAACATAGATGGTGTGTTTTAAAAAAACACATTTCTGTGTAAAAGTCATGTGCCAGTAAGATTGCTGTTTTTTTTTTCATGTCAACTCCCCCTCGAGGCGGAAATACTTCGCCGCAGTGAACAGGACACCATTGTGGCTTATTATTCACAACTTTTTAAGTAGTTTGTTGAATAATAGGTTCATGACAGCGATTACAAATTGTAGTGCTTGCAAATACATGAGATAGCCATTTATAGTAATCGCAAAAGTTGCACGTAGTACGACATATTCGCCAACGAATTTAAAGGGCGCTATGCATGTTGAAATGTTAAAGCGCTATGCAAGGCGCGAGACAATTCAGTGCACACGCAGACATGTAATCAAACAATTAACACGAGCCATTTTTTTTTCGGCCAACCACAATAAGCGGTCGAGTGTCCTTACAATCGTCTCTCACAGGTGGTGGCGTAATATTTTACCGCATTTAGGGCTTGGTTCGCTCCACGCTCTGTTCCCCAGGCATGTGGAAGTGGTGGCACCCAGCAGGTAGAAGCCGCGCTCACAGGCGAAGTAGGCCACCGTCGGAGTCTCAGGATGGTCTATGGTCACCTGCACGTTGGCGCCTATCTGAGGCGGCGTGCATCCTGCAGCATTGGAAGAGGCCAAGGTCGGCCCGCACTCGCTTAACGCAGATCCACTTCAGAATCAGTTCGGCACTTACAAAGCTACGGCATCTCGATCACCACAAGGAGTGGGTGAGTGAAAGAACTTCATTTAAACCAACGGATTGAGTCCTGCGTCCAGTTCATGCCAGGGGCGGTGGAAATATGCTTTGTCTCCCAGGCGCCTCTCGGTCTCACCTGTGGCCCCGTTCTTGCATGGCTTAACTCATAAGCGCGGGTTTCTACCACGCACCAGACTGTTTGGATGGGCCTGCACTTACATCCTGTACATGTGAACACATGTGTGTACATGTGTACATGCGTCCGCCGTGGCAGACTTGGCTATCAAGTAGCCAGCACAAGCGGACTAACGAGTTGATGGTCATGCAAATAGCACATCCAGTTTATGACAGCAGCTTACTGAAATACTCAAAGCGAAATAAATGTAACAATTTCACAGTTCCAGAATTAATATAATTAGCAGAATCTTGGCGAATAACGAAAAAAAACTTGGGGAAGTTGGGAACCGCACAGCGTGTGTTGTAACCACGGTGTCAGAATAAGTTATGCGCTGGCACTGTCCCGCCGGTGACTTTGAGCTACGAATAGTTACCGTCGCGTGAGTTCAGATGGCGCTACTGTATGGGGTGCCAGGTGTTCGCGTAGCACTCATTCAGAAATTCACGTGTGAAAGAACATATTTCTTAAACCTTTGTTTGAGTGGGATTGTGGTTTAAAAACGCGTTGTCTAGTGTCTCCCTGTCAAGGCACTTGTTTAGCTGATTCACTCTTTGTGATTTTGTGCACGAATACCTTGAAGCTGTGTTTGACCACGAGTACGCGTCAGCGGCCTTGTCCCTGGCTGCGTCTCGAAATCGACAAGTAGTGCTTTGTGCAAAATTACAGGGCGGGTGTTGCTTGGCAATGCTCCGAGCAAACCATAACGCTTGGATAAGTGGCGAAGGACAATTTCGAAAGCTCATAATCATATGTGCGCAAAACATTTCCTGAAAGAAGAAATCTCTGCCTCATATCATGCAGTATACAAGAGAAACAACCTGTTGCAAGCCTCCCCCCCCCCCCCAAAAAAAAAACTACGCTCACTTCGAATGTTGTGCTTGCCATTTTACCGGATGACCCAAGATGCCTCACATTCAGCAAAAAACAAGAAAAGCCTTGGCGAAAATGGCTGGCTCTACTGCCGACTTCTCGAAAGCGACGGGGACGAAAAGTTTCAACTGCATTTCAAGTGCCTGACACGACCGCTAAAAGAATGTGAAATTCATTGTGCGTTTAGACAGTTACTCCGCAGAATAGCGATGATGAATCGGCAGCAGGCACGCATGCACAAGATAGCGCTTGGACTTCAGCAGGGACGGGCCTCCTCCACGTGAAAAGGAGGATGCTTCTGAACACAACACTGACAGTGTGGACCTGGCAATCCCGCCGACTCAGTTCAATACACTACCGACTCAGTTCCTCATCACACCGGAAAAGTAATTTCTTGTTTTAAAATCAGGTGCTATTTTTGGAGCCACCTCATCTAGGCCTAATTGGGTCAGGAAAACTTATATGTTGTAGAAAAAACAGTGAACTGAAATCATTGCACATACTTCTTCTGTAATGCAGTGGTCGTGATTAAAATTAGTTTGTTATGCTTGATGTGGTCAAGCCAGCTTTTCTCGTTTTTTTTTCCTTTGATGTGTCTAGCACTTCATAGTCACTGCATGTGTTACAACATTGCAGACACCCTTCCGACCAAGGGGCTTACGACACACCGTTTATTAAGCCGAAGGCCTTAGATGGCCTTACATGCCTCATCAAAAGCGAAATATGACTGTCGGCATTCCGCGTCGGTGGCGTAATGGTCGAGCGGCAGAATTTATACTGATTTAGGTAGTGCGCTCGCATTTACTATCTGATAAGCACTTGATCTAGTTGAAGTCCGCGCGGCCTAATAAAAATAGCACGAAGTATGGCTGATGGCACTGGTTTGACAGTGGCTGTATGGGTATGTGATACCGTTTAACTTAGGGTCGCCTTTCAGGACCCAATGAAGTTCTTACCACCACACCATACTTCTTACACTTCTAGAAACTGAAATCTGCCTGGCGCTAACAGCAAGACTGCCAAGGGGAGCGCGTCGATTATATATATAGAATGCGTGAGTAAAATACGTTACTGTAACGTTAACTGACAAAGTTTTGATTTATTTTGCAGAGCAATCAGAACTCGACAGCGATATCCGCACACACACAGGCAAACGCACGCACATGCGCACCAACACACGCAAGCACACTATCGCCTTCCTGATCGCTAGCGCGCATTTGCCCTCGGGCTGCATTCCTTATTTCAAACACCTCAAGTTTTCCCTCATAAACAACATTGCTTTTTTTTTGTTCTGAATTAAGATACTGACAGCGAAACTTCTGACACCGGAATTGCAACGAAACCAACTCTTTAGTGCTGTCGCGTAAAAATGCAATCGCTCTTCAGGCCAACGTTTTCTGTATTCGGAGCATTTATATCACAATTAGCAAGTAAACTGCATATAAAATCAGAAAATTAAATTCGTTACAGCTGACTCACAATGTATTAATTATTTGGCATCCGTGTACATGAGTACATCGAGGTAAGTACTACTAAACAAGCGAGGAGGCTCCGCAGCGATAACCTTCTACACGTGGATCGGAGTAGCTCCGCAGTCTAGGGAGCCTTCATGTGAAGGCGTCTCCATGTTTCAGGGTGGTGTCAGCCTTTGACCCACCACTTGCCGCCGCCCGCTAAAACACAATGTTACCAGTCCTGGTTTCCATGACAACAAGCGCCATGTTGGTTCTCTCGGCCAGGCGTTCCTGCTCCGCCGCATTGCACCAGCTGAATGTTGGCGCGGGTGTGCAAGCTGCGGTATGAGGTGCGTTTGACTATGTAGACATAGCTTCCACTACGACACCATCCTCGCGCTAAGCGCACCTACAAGAACTTTCGAAGTGTAAATGCCAGGGTGCGGCGTGGCGCAATCCAAACCATCTTGGAGACTGTCCCGCTTCCCCACTTGCTCTCGTCAACGGAAACGCTGAATTGGACAAGTGAAGTGAGATTGCTTGGAGCCGTCTACTTCTCCCCGTTTTTGCGGGGTGAGTGCCCGTCGTATTGCGAGTGGGTTGAGTATATCGCCGCATATTTTGTGAAATGGCTGACTTAGTCATGCGGCAAAAGGCATTTTGAGCAAAGTAAACACAACAACATGCACAGTATAAAAATGATTCGGGCTTCGTTCTGCTACGCCGGGCTATGCGAACGAAAGCTGGTTAACTTGAGTATGCTTGTTTATCATCGGTTTTCGAAGCCGTCACCGCATTCGCCGCGTGAAACGTCCGGCCCGTAAACCACAAATAGACGCTCGCGTTTCCGTCTTCCTTTGCTGGCAGATGTTCGCGTTCCTGCGATTTCAGCTCGGTCATGGAGGAAGGGCATTTGGAGAGGTAAACAGACGAGCTGATGAACGCGTTCCCTGTAGACTCTTGTACTCTTGCACAGTTGCGATACAACTAAATTTTGTGCGGCTTGCCATGGGGTATTCGTTCTTCTCTTTAATGACGCGTAGAGCTACACCGAAACTCGCTGAACGATTGAAAAAAGGATTGTGCTTTGATAATATTGATTTCGACAGATTTGCTGTTCGTGTCCGTTCGTCCTTCTGTCTGTCTTTCGGTCCTGAACGGTGTAGTATATGTGCACTAAACAAGTCAGTTGTTGGCCCATAACTGAAATATGCCCTATGTGCTGCTTCATCATTTTTGTCATCCTTTTGTTTCATAACCGGCCACAAAGATGCTTTGATATCGTTTTTATTTAGTGCTTGTGGAGAAAATCTGTATGGACTCCGTATATCTGGTCGGCACCGTGTATGACCTTTCACTCTATTGCTTTATTCTAGGTCCTCTGCGAGGACACAAGCTTCCAGTAAAGGAGGCAGGACGGTTTGAAGAAGTAAAGGCCAGATGGTGTTTGGATGCTGTTTGCAGTAAAATATGACCTGGAAAAACCTGCTTTGTCTTTTATTGCTCCCCTATGCTTTTCTTCTAGCCCAATATACAGGCTTTTAGGGAGAAGGGGAGGGTTGGTATATTATGATTGAGTGCCCTAATATTTTCTGGCAATGCTTACAGCTCGTAAGGTTTTTAAGCACTCCATTGTACAGATTCGTTCGTAGGAACTGAACTTGCTGCAGGAAATTAAATTACGTATAAAAGCAATATTTAGGGTATGAGAAACAGGCTAGCCGAGTTATGTGGTTTACAGAGAACATCGTGAGCTACCCGGTTGTTTGATCTGCCTTCCTTGTCGTTATGGGTACCATCATTTAAACAGCATGCTTTCGAGCCTTGCACTAGAAGGCCTTTGAGGTGTGTGCAGTGCTAAGCTCAATTCGCTTCAGGAATACTACACAGACATTGAAGTCTGTTCACAGTGACATCGAGGTTCTCCCCTCGCAAACATAGGCTCCCTAAATATCCTCACTTCGCCAATGCGGTGGGTGTACCAGCCTGAAGAAATGAACTGTTTTAACGGTATTTTATACAAACTCGAGTCACGCACATGTTTTTCCTGTTCTAAAAAACGGAAATCGTAAGTAAAAACGAAAAAAACGTATATATATATATATATATATATATATATATATATATATATAAACCACCTCCTCCTTGTGGAAACCCACACTGCCTTCAGTGTAAATGAGTGGCCGCTAAGAAACAACATGACCGCCCATGAAGTATGGCAGCCGTTTTAGGCAGCTGTAAGCAACTATGATCGAAGTTGTCACCACCTTAAAACACGGAGACACGCGCACATGAAGGCTCCATATGGCTTACCCTCCGCGAGCGCCATCTGTCACATTAAACGGAAACAACCAAGGCGGCGAACACAATCCGCACGCCGCACGGGACGCAGTGTCATCCCCTAACTTATTCTTAGACCGAGATTGCAACGGAAAATTTTAGTCATTACAAAGATATATGAGGACAGCTGAGTGAATAAGAAAAACAGAGATAGGCAAAGCCCTATTGGACAATAGTAATAATAATAATAATATTCATACGCAACAGCCGGCACAGCCTGTCTGGAAGAAAGAGAAAGGCGACGTTGGTGGCTGGTTGTAAATATATAATATTGTTCTTGTTCATTGAGTTGTGGGGTTTAACGTCCCAAAACCACCATATGATTATGAGAGACGCTGTAGTGGAGGGGTGCACAAATTTTGACCATATCGTATTCCTTAACGTGCCCTGATACCACAGTACGCGTACGAGCGTCACCGCTTTGCTTCCATAAATAATGCGACCATTGCTGCCGGGATTGAAACAAAGACCTTCTAGTCAGTAGCCGAGCACCCTAACCACTGACTGCTGAGGCAGACGCTGGCAATTCCAGATATTGCATTTAGGTCCAGTTACTGCGTTACAACACCTCAGGGTATCCTAGCAGGCTAACCCAGTTGATTGTCAACCTCACTATCAGCTTTATTTTAGTGAAAACATGCGATGTCCTATGAACGGGGACTTTTCACCAAAGAAAACCCAGCTTCTCCCAGCTGCGAAACGTGGCATTGGCATGCTCGCTGGAAAAAGAAAGAGGAGCCTGCACGTGGATTAGTTAAGCGCAGGCCACCTACCATGCGAGGTCGAATCGGTCGACCTATCAATGAGGAAGTGCCAACCGGCAAGCACCCATACACAAGGCGCCTTTCGCTTGCCCATCTCCTTTTTATTTTCATGACACGCCCCACCCCTCTACTGTCATTCCGGTCTAACACACCGGCTCAAGCCCTGACTCCGAGGTTCTACTCCTTACGTACCGTGTTCTTCGTTCCCACCTAACCACCCTCCCGTGTCCCCAGCTTCGCACCGCCACTCCGTCGAAGACGCGCCATACGCGGCAGTCATCTTGCAGAGACAACTTGGGCGACACAACCTCACCTGCGCTGGTGAATGCGGCCAGCGCATGCCATTGCCTTGCCGAATCACTCTAGCTCGATCAAGACACTGGTAATTATCAGCAGCATGCGCAGCCGCTATGTACCATTATCTCGAGCAAGCTGATGTAGCTCGTGTAAGAATGCATCAACTCCGATCAGCTTAGTGCGTTTGTATTGACTTGATAAAATTACGCATAGAAACATCTACGGGGACTTTTTTTTTTTTAATGGGCAGAAGTGTTCAGTTCAGAAGGACGGATGTGTGACACAGCGGGTAGTGCCGCAAGCATCTAAAATACGGGCGAGCTTTCTCGATGAAGGAAACGGAACATCTTGGCAGTCACTGTAGGCCGCGCTGCGAGAATCACCACTGTACAGCGAGGACACTTTCCAGTTAGCGCATCCACACTGGAGTGTCGGCGTATTCTACTCTGTACGTCACGCGATGTGCATGAACGTATTTTTCTTTTGCCATCACGCGCGCAGTGTCACATTTTCCTACAGGCGAAATGCAGGTTGTGTTTGCAGCAAAAAACCCACTCAGAGGAAAAGGGGAATACTCGCGGCGGGGGAAAGGGGCTGTCACTTATTGCTCGTCTCCGTGCTTCCCTAGTAACCTGTGGGGTTCTGCGTCCCAAAAGCATGGCCTAGGATTACGAGAAACGCCACAGTGGAGGGCTTCGCAAATTCCGACTGTCTGGTGTTCTTCAACTTGCGCTGACATCGCACAGTAGATGCGTTTATGCTAGTTCGCCTCCACTGAAATGCGACCGCCACGGCCAGGATCGACCCAGCGACCTTCGGGTCAAAAGCCGAGCACCCCAGCCACAGATTTACAGAGGCGAGATTTCGTACATTACCACAGAACGGCCCAGAGCTAGACGTTGTCATATCTAGTCATGAAAAACCTACCAAATAGTTACTCCTGTTGATGGAGATAGGCGATGCCGTAGTCAAAAGAGTAAAGCCGAAAAAATAAACCTAATCAACAAAACCAAAGTTGTTGTGTTATATATTTTAACGTAATCATAGATGCGTCATCGTATACACAAACCTGAAAAGAGCTCGCAATGGGTGCCACCAAAGGACGGCGGGCAGGTACAGGCCCCAGTGATAGAGTCACAGGTTCCCCCGTTCTGACACTGGCAACCTGCAATTGTACAGAATGTTTATATTAGACGACGGCAGCATGAAAATCTCATCATCTGTACTGCAATGCTTGAAGCCAACACATCCTGGTGTTCGGGCAGCTAGGAACTTGCAGTGATAACGTTGTTTATTGCAACCATGGTGGCGTTTCAACCACCTTTTATTTATGTTTTCGCTTCGTGGATTAACTGGTAAAGTATAAACACACGCACACACACACACAAAGAAAGAAAGTAATCATGCATCGTGTGCTAACAATAGCGGGTTTGGGCCAAGGGCATGGCCAAGAGGGTCGCATACTAGACACACTTCTACAATGTGAGTCCACACATAATCATTTTTCCTCTATTTCACACATAATCCTTTTCCTCCCAAGGTACACATGTGCGCAAACTGTACTGAGACCCTGTGCTGATTTTCTTCCTATGCTATGAGGCAGACCATACGCACCATCCCTGAGCACACCTGGGGCTTTGCAATTGCCACCTCGCAGCCCTGGCAAGACCCACTCCTTCGCTCAGACGAAAACTAAGGTACCTCAGATTTACATGAAGTGCAGAATGAGTAGGAGTTCTGGACCTTGTAACTGCCATCGCCTTATGCAACTAAGATAACTATCAGTCATTGGTTTCAAGTAAAGGCTTCGCTTTCAACATTCAGCGGCGACACCGCTGGACGCTTGATTTCTTGAACGTAAGTGTGATGCCACTTACGTTCCTCGCACCAAGGTCCAAAACGGCCCGGAGGACACGAAGAGCAGCCTTTGGCGTCGCTGTCGCACTCCTTGCAGTTCTTGAGCATAGGGCACACTTCTTCGGGCTTACGATTGCTGCACGGCCGGCACTTGAACTGCCACCGGTGAACGTAGGAGCACCTACGGAGGGTGCGGGGGGTAAGTCCAGTAAGTGGTGAGCAAATCGTCAATCTATACAAAATTCTTTGATCACAAAGAGCGCCAATTTTTCCCTCACAACCAACGTCGCTCACGATCACACTGCGTTTTCTGTGACACGACTTGTTCAACAGAATCACACTAACATTTGTAACAGTTCCAGTCATCAACACCACAGAAAGAGGTTTTTCAAAACTTCAGTTGTTGAAAAACATTGTGTGTTCGACAATGCCTGCGTAAAAAGAACGCTTTATTGAACTGGCACTAAATCAATGTTAAATAGTTATTGGAGCGTCTGGTATAATCAACTTGTTGGCAGCATTCGTCGCCATTCAGGCTTCGTGATTTCAATTATTAAGCTTACTTCAATATTTTGACAATCTAAATATAGACATACGTATAACACACACTTTAGTATTCTGTTTCATTCTTTGTTATTGTTACAAGGAGTAATAATATGACAAAGACACTCGGTGCGGTTTTGTTTTGTTAAGTCAACAATAAATCAAAGCTGTTTTTTCTGCCTAGTATCATCGCATTTTACTCACTGTAGTGCATTTTGATAAAGTATGCTCCGTACAAAGGACTGAATTCTGCCTTCCATGCATTTACTCCGCCCCACCAAAACATCCCGAATGACCCATCGTGGAGCTTTTGGCTTTTGGGTTCCACTGTCTCTACTTCTTAATCACCCTATCAGCATTTTATCTGAGCATACACGCAATCATTTCGTCTTTAGTCAGCATTTTATCTGAGCATACACGCAAGTTTGCTAACAACAAGTACATTCGACTTAATCGTATATAAAATTTAAAACGGGTGGGAAAAGGTCAACAGTTCACACATGGAGGCACCGCTGAACGTACTTAAACACCTCACGAGCAGCAAGTACCAAAGACGGTTGCTTAGACCAGATTACGTTTTCTTCATTAACAGCCATAGTAGGCGAATGTGTGTCTCGTACCTCTTGAAGAAAAGAAAAAAAAAACGTCGCGAAGAATGCTCGCTTACATGCACCCCATCCTCCTCACCACTGTTCTGATCGAGTTTGCCCTTACCCAGTTTTCTGTTTTTAGAAACATTATTGGCTACGAAAACTCAACGACCATGCGTCCTCTTCTGAGCCCACGAGTAAGGTTGAGCCTCTGAGGAGATACAACGACATCTGCAAACACTGCCATTTATCCACACGAAGTGTGCTCTGCTTTATTTTGTTTTCTTACGGAGAGGTCAATATGTCATCCTCTGAACCTCGTGGTCAAAATAATTTTCTTGTAGATCTGCGCGCCATCTACCGAGACAGATACCCTGACTCCAATTTCTTTTCACGAGGTTCTCATGACGATCAAAGCAACATGCGCTGGGCGTGTACCTTTCTCTAATCAAAATGTCAGCTATTTGTAAGATCGATTAAACGGCAACATAATGCCTGTGTGAGTTTCAGTAGAAGTTCATGGCGTTTCGTCACGACGCCTTGGACAATGCTGCTCACAAAATTACTTGGCGTTCTGGAACTCACTGTTTCACTGTGACGTGCAGCGTGTAACCAGGCGTGCCACACTGGCAGCTGAAGAAGGTCTTGCTGCAGAGACCAAGGTTGTAGTCTTTGCTGGCTTGGGTGCTGAAGCACAGAGCTGCCAACAAAAGCCACGAAAGCTGCACTTTGGCCATGACTCGTGTCTGCAGAAACGAGACATCGCCGAAATGTTATTTTCTCGATGCCTCACTCTGCTCCTGAACACATTCATGAATAAGCCACATAGTATAGCCGAATGCCTAACCATTTAAACGTTGTTTGGATGCAGCTTGCAACAACACCATGGAACTGCGGCCTCTTATTTTATTTATTGCACAAAGCGTCACCAACTCCGGCTTCTAGGGTAGCAAAAAAAAACTCTGAACATTTCAGTGTTGTGTACTTCATCGCTCGTGTAAACATTGCACGAATACCCGCCGCTGTGGTATGCTGCTTATGGTTGTTGACTGCTGACCCGAAGGTTGTAGGATCAAATCCCAACTAAAACGGCCACGTTGCGTAAGAGGCAAAGTGGTAGATGCCCGTGGGCTTCAAAAACCCAAGGTGGTCCGAATTTTCGAATCTCTTCACTACACGCCTCTCATTGTTGTATCGTGGTTTTGGGATTTGAGACCTCCTAAACAGTTCCTATTAATTATTACGTGGAGGCTATACCAGGCTTGTATTCAGTGATGATCACAAATCTTATCTAAACTGCAGGCGCGTCCACGTAATAATTAGCATGCGCACTGAGAGAGATTCAGGAATTGCGAAAATTATTCAGTTTTGCTGACTGATATGAACTGTCTTTATGAATAAAGTTCCACTGATTTCGCTTGCAGCGTCCGATAGGTTTTTTCTAGGACTACTGTCAAATATGGAAAGCTTCAGCGCAAGCTTCCCGCCTCCGTTAAACATTAAAGCACCTGCATGGCCCAGTATAGCATCGCCTTCCTGTTGACACGTGCTAAGCGAAAGGATGCTGATTACATTCTGAGTCACAACAGTTAAATATGTCAAATGATAAAATATGTCATTTTAGCCACAATGAGAACATTTTTTTACGAGCGGTAGACGGTCTTTCTAGCAGCTGAGCAACTACAGCCTCGTAATTCTCTGCCGCACGCACATCAGGCGCACTGTTTCTAGACGAAGCATCTGAAATATCACAGCACGCTTTTGTTTACGCATGAAATGGAATGCCATTATGACTTACACGTGAACCAAACAAGCACATTCCACTATGCTATAGATAAAAACGAGACGCGACAAGGCAAAGACGGTGAGAGATATATACTTGCCTTGAAAAACACGCCAAGTGCCTGTGCTCGAAGGAGTGACAGTAAACAGTGATCGTGCTGGGAGAAGCACCTCTACTATGAAACCCGACTTGGCATCATGTACGGCAAGAGCCGGATGGCGATACCCCGCCGCTTTTCTCGGCGATGGCCCAATCTACACTGTCCAATCAATCCTTGGTCTCCTTCGCACGCGTAAGTCACAGCGCGAACAGCGTTTGCGGTAGCCAGAGTAGCGGTGGGCTTTCCCCGCGCGTCGCTCACAGACGTTCTGTGAAGAGAGAGAAAGACGGGAAGCCCAACGAGGGACGGTTAAATAAAACTTCCTTGTCTTGCCACGCTGAGCAAGAGATGGCAATACCGGGTGGGCTGTTACTCGAAGCTCCTTTCACTATGCACGCTTCCGCACGTCCAACGCGGGGGCTTTCGGTGGAGGCTCGCTCGCGGTGGTGAACGGCTTTATCGCCGTCGTGCATCCTCCTTCCTACGATGCGGACGCACGACGCGAAAGCGAACACCGGCACAATCAGCTCGCACGTGTCACTGTTCCGTCGGCTGTTCCGCCGCTCGCGGCCGTGTTGTGTCTAAAGAACGTGTCCGACAGCGATAGCGGGCGAAGCGGGAATTATGCTCCTTGTTTAAATGTATACAACTTTCTGTGACTTCACAGATCTTGTGTTGAAGAGTTTTTTTAGCAGTTGTGACCGAAAAGCATCATTGTTTTTTGTTTGTGCATGTGAGGAGCTATATGTTTCTTTTTTTTGTCGTAAATGTGTTTGGATTCGACAAACAAGAAATCTAAAAAAATAATGTGCATATTTGGCGCCTTAGAAAACTGGGTAAATTCGCATGCTTTGAAAGCGATTGCAGACAACCTGCAATAGTTGGAGCACTCCTCTTGACAAATAGGTCCCGTGAAAAATGCAAGACGTAAACTGAAACTTCTTTACATTGCTAAACATTCACAAAGAGACGACACAGAAAAATACAAGCTGATTAGATCGATGCACCTCGTTTCTCAAACTGGTACAAGGAGATTGTTCAGTACCAGATGGGTCGCTATTTCCGCTTACGGCTACATCTGTAAGGCAGACACGACACAAGAGCAAAAGGCACATGAATAGTACCGGCTTTGAGTGAGCCCCGTAACGTGCACAGTAGGACACCCTTCTATCGAAGAGCGCCTACTCGAATAGCTTAGTGATTGCACAGAATTGAATACTACAATGTTTCGCATAATTTTAAACACTACGTGCTCGGTGTGCACACACTGTTACCTTTAAGCCTAGGAATGTGTGCAAATCGAGATATAGTCAAATCCCTGACGTTGCGGCTACATAATCAAAACTAATTTTCGTGGAGTACTGAAATAAAATATCGTGGGATCTTAGAAAAGGTCTCAGGAGATATCGCGGAGTGCGTAGAAGAAGCGCTAAAGTGGACATAAAAATATCCATAAATAATGACCTTATGATGATGATTATTTCCACCTCGTTCCGTTCGATAATTTTTTGTGATGCTTACACCACTAAACAAATGCAACAATAGCTTCCAAATTAAAATCTGCTAGAATTCATTAAATAAATCCTTATCTTCAGTGCCCAGCCCCAGAGCTAATGAGTATTTTGTGAGGTGAACAGCATAAAAGAGTTTGTTTACGCTCAAGATCATGCATTTGTTTATAACAAACACATGAGTTTATTAAATCAATGATTCTCGTACGTACAGCCGGTTTCTCAGCAATTTTTTTTGTATCAAGTCGCACATGACTGCAAAAGCAGAAACTTTAGAATACTTCATGCGATGTGCATACAACACCAAACAGCAAACGTTTACGGGACGTTGGTTCCGCAACAAGTGTCGATTTCACCTCTATTATAAAATATAGCCCATGATACATGTACCGGTTCCACATGTTCAAACACCGAATATTGGCTAGAACCCTTATATGGAAGTTCTGTTCGACACATGCTGACTTAGCATATTACCCGATCGATTGACCGATATGTGGGGTTTAACGTCCCAAAACCACGATATGATTTATGAGAGACGCCGTAGTGGAGGGCTCCGGAAATTTCGACCACCTGGAGTTCTTTAACGTGCACCCAAATCTGAAAACACGACCCTACAACATTTCCGCCTCCATCATAAATGCAGCCGCCGCAGCCAGGATTTGAACCCGCAACCTGTGGGTCAGCAGCCGAGTACCTTAGCCACTAGACCACCACAGCGGGGCTTAGCCTATTACCCGTCTAGAATATTTACCATACCGCTAACTTTTGCTTTCCTATCAATTTAAGTTTCCTATCATTTAAACTTATTGCACAGAAGTCCCTCATTCTATTCGTTAATTATACTTACTTTCCAACGCAGCCTCCTGCCCATGACGCAGTGCTCCAGCTACGCCAGGCACATACTTGTTGAGCGCCTTGTTCTTCAGTGGATCCATCCTAACAGGATCAGGTGCATTTGTTTTGCTCAGTGAAGCTCCCTTTAAAAGAAAACAATAGGTAAGTTTAGAACGTGGTTCTCTTAGCCCCTAATTTCAAAACGCATTAACTATCACGGAACTCAACGTTACGGGAGACGGTAACTGTGTAAACAGTGCTGACAGTGACAACTAATCATTTGTTTCGCATTACGTTTTATGTACGAATAGGTACAAATGAAACGCTCAATGCCAACGCGTACGTTGCGTTCAGAACTTTATGTCATAATAACACACAAGCCTTTTATGTGAGGGCTCATCATGGATCCGTGACGTCTTTCCATGACGGATATGATGCTGTAATATATTTACTAACAGATTGCAAGAAAAAAATAGGCAGATCTAACGTACAGTGGGAATCTATGATATACGAAGCACGAATGAGGAATGTTAATATGTCACAAAAAACTTTTAATCCAGCACACAGTCACGAGATGGACGTAAATAATGCCGTGCATGACTTCCACGTCATGAGTATCCCGTATAGACGTGTCATTTACCTTCGTCGTCCATTCACGTCTCGTGATACCACAATTCGTATATGTGAAACTAGCGAAACTTCCGCGAGCGCACTATAGCCATAGCGTGTAGCAATGTTTCACATGGCACTCATGCTGTGATTATCATATTTGGACGTCTCATTTACCTTCGTCGTCTATTCACGTCACGGGGTCCCAAATTTGGTATACGTGGTGCTAGCGAAACGGCCGCGAGCACGCTACGAGCGTAGCATGTATGCATGTTTTACATGACACGCATATCATGATTATGATGTTTTGGACGTGGCATTTATTTGCCTTTGTTGTCTTTGACGTCACGTAATAACAAATATGGTATATGTGAAGCTAGCGAAACAGCCGCGAGTGCATCATGAGCGTGGTATGCTGTCATGTTCGCACATGACACGCATGTCATGATTATCATGTTTGCACCAGGCATACACCTTCATCATCCATTCACTCCTCGTAACACCAAACTCGGTATATGCGGGGCTAGCGAAACAGCCGCGAGCACCCTTTGAGCGTAGCACTTCGTCATGTTTTACATGGCACGCATGTTATGATTATCATGTTTGAACGTGTCATTTGCCTTCGTTGTCGTTGACGTCGCGTAATATCAAATTTGGTATATGTGAAGCTAGCGAAACAGCTGAGAGCGCAATATGACCATGGTATATGTTGTCATGTTCTTACATGACACGCATGGTATGATTATCATGTTTGCACCAGTTATACATCTTCGTCATGCATTCAACTCAGATTTGGTATATGTGAAGCTAGATAGATTTGATTGACTTATATGTGAGGTTTAACGTCCCAAAACCACTATATGATTATGAGGGGCGCCGTAGTGGAGGGCCCCGGAAATTTTGACCGCCTGGGGTTCTTTAACGTGCACCCAAATATGAGTACACGGGCCTACAGCATTTCCGCCTCCATCGGAAATGCAGCCGCCGATGCCGGGATTTGATCCCGCGACTTGCGGGTCAGCAGCCGAGTACCTTAGTCACTAGACCACCGCACCTTTTTTTTTTCTTTATTAGCTAGACCATCGCGGCGGGGCCTGTGAAGCTAGCAAAATGGCTGAGAGCACACTATGAGCGTAGCATGTAGTTATGTTTTACACGAAACGTATGTTCTGATTATCAAGTTTGGGCGTGTTACTTACCTTTGTTGTCTGTTGCGTCACATAATACCAAATTTAGTATATTTGAAGGTAGCCAACAGCCATGAGTGCATCGTAAGCGTGGCATGTGGTCATGTTCTTACATATTACGCATCTCATAATCATCATGTTTGCAACAGTCATTTGCCTTCGTCATCCATTCACTTCCCGTAGTACCAATTTTAATATATGTGAAGCTAGCGAAACGACCGCGAGCGCACAGTGAGCGTGGCGTGTAGTCATGACTTACTTGACATGCATGTCATGATTTCCAGGTTAGCGTGTGTTACTTATGTTCACCATACAGTCATGTGATACCATATAGGTTTTGCAATATTTCATGTGAACCAAACCACCATGAGCAGGAAGATCATGCAATGTAAATTATGAAACTCATGAGATACATGTTATGATTGTCGTGTTTTGACTAGTCACTCATGCTCGCCATAACGTTATGTTATACCATTCTAATTTTGGTATCAATAGCATTATCGAAACAGCCAGGAGAACTAGAAGCCATAGGCGTATAGATAGATAGATAGATAGATAGATAGATAGATAGATAGATAGATAGATAGATAGATAGATAGATAGATAGATAGATAGATAGATAGATAGATAGATAGATAGATAGATAGATAGATTAGATAGATAGATAGATAGATAGATAGATAGATAGATAGATAGATAGATAGATAGATAGAATGAAATCAAAGTCGCTGAAGTTCGCTAAGAAATGCTTTGCATTTAAAAACAAGAACGAAAAGTTCCGCAGCGGGGCGGTAAACGACCTCGCACTCCTCAGTGCGCGACGCCAACCAATATGCCACCGAGTGACCCTTCTCCACCGTGGTAACGGTGAGCCATTTATGTACACAGTGTACCGCTGGCAAACCTGAGAGCTCGACTACTTCAGTGCGTTTCTGTCATCAGTAGTGAGATGGCACGACGAGTGCGTGTTGGGCGCGCTCGCACTAAAAGTCGTCGTGCCACGCCACTGCGCGCGTAGCTGTGCGCGGGCGCCTCCACATAGCATGATCAAAGTGCGTGCTGATGATCTCTGGAGTGAGGGCTCACTAGCGTGCACAATTATCTCACAATCCACCATAAGTTTGCTTTCAAGTACAGTAGTTAAAGAGAGCACGAACGTCAATTCGCTCACTGCGGCAGCCGCGTTTACAGAAGGAGCCCGCTGCCCAAACATGAATAAGTAAGAACTGACACTGTTGTTTGCATTCGTTCTGTGCATACTCGTGTGTTTCTTTCATGCGTCTTTCTTTCTGTTGAGCAGCCTGCCTAAAGCGT